CAGTCGTACCAAAATTCATGGCACGAATGGTTGTCGTCTCGGCGCACTCAGTGATGAGGTGTACTGGTGTTTCACCATCTTCCCCACAGAATCTGCATTCGCCGTTTCTTCTTAGTTTCAATCTACTGAGGTGTTCATTGAGGAGACAGTGTCCTGTTAAAAACCCCGTGACAATCCGAAGATTGTTCTTACTCAGACCCAGGAAGATCTGTGATTTTTTTTTTCTTGATCTTAAGCCCTCAGAAACTTCTTCGAGTGTCTTAGACCATTGCAAGATTTCCATTCCAGGTTGCGGATGGAATCTTCCAAGTTCTTGAGTTCCGCCTTGAGTTGGTTACCACTTGGAAAGCAGAACGGTTCTGGTCCAGTTAGTGGAGTGTTCGCTCCTTTCCTAGCTAGATTATTTGCTTTTTCATTGCCTTCTATCCCTTGGTGAGCAGGCACCCAGTGTACGGGAGTGTAAGGGAGATATTCTGTTTCTTTTTTTCTACTGATATGGCGCCCTTATCGACTTTCGAAGTAAACATATTAGGGTCATCATAAAAAAAGATCGTCAGACACTGGCTCTAAATATAAGCAGGTAGAAAGTTTAGCTGCCAGTTATTTCAATGTTTACAATATAACGAAGAATCTACAACAGTAATTACTTCTATTTTTATGAATGTTTAAGTTACTTTCTTATTTTTTTTTCAAAATAATGTACTAATGAACCTTGTTTGAAAAACGTTAAATTAAATATAATATTTAAAATACAGTTGTCTTCCTTGTACATGACTACAATACAACTAAAAAAACTAATTTAATAAAAAAAACAAGTGGTTGTAGAAAAACTTTAAATATTATTTTTTTTATTTTTTAACATCGAAACTCAAAGGTATAATAACAAGTATCATACCAACCATAAATAGAGTAGGTATGTCATATAAAAATGTTTTGAGTTTTTACTAGAATCGATCCTTGATAAAAAAAAGGGATTAGATTTAAGTTTACCTTTGATCCAGTCTGTATACTATTTCTTTGGATTTTCTGCACGTGTGCAAAAACTACACTAAAACACTATATCTTATAGAAAATAAAATATTGTACCTTGAATTTGAGGGATTTCATCTGAAAAATTATTAATTTGGAAGAAAACCGGCAACAAGCGAAAATAATAATATTTCCGTACAGTGTTCTGGTCGCAACGACCAACGGACGGCCAGGACGTTAGTGTGCGCTCTATCATTTGATTTAATGGCTTTAGAGGTAGCTGCGGCCTGGCCGGTGCGACCTGGTCGTCGGTGTGTTCGAGCCCTTACATAAGTCCTTTTAGAAAAAGACTTATAAGAGTCATTAAAAAGATTTAAATCTTTTTATAAAAGGCTTAAGTTATATTTTTATATATTTTCATGATAAATTTTTAACAGCAGCATTTCTTTTTAAACTGTTTAGGCAGCAGGCAAGCAGCTGAATAAAAAACAATGTTCAATACCACTAGTAAATAAAATGTTAATTTTTATGTATCCCGAAAGACGAACAAAAGATATTTATCTCGAATATATTGAAGAGTACATTAAAATCCTCCAGCCTTTAGCTCATGCCATCGATATATTACATATTACATAGTTATCAATAGTGATCAAAACACATTACCACTTTTTATTAGACAAGTATTCGATGAAATCTGTAATGGATATACAGGGTGTTTCAAAACAAATGCGAAAAACTTCAGGGGTGATTCCTTGTTCAAAATAAAGGGGTAGTTTCCTTCATAAACGTTGGGTCAAAAGTCAACCATTAGGGAGATATTGCGGTACAAAGATGGCGGAAAAATAATGTTTTTATTTTTTATCTTGAAAACGAAAAGAGATAGAGTAATAAAATTTTATGGAAGCATTACTGTTATGAAAACACACTTTCTGGTAATTTTTTTCACTTTTTCAAAATGAGTGGAAGGGGTTGAAATAAACTACCCCTATCATTCTTGTTAACGAAATTTAAAGAAAAATCTTATCAAATACATGCAAATTAATTTGGATAGTTTAGTTTGTTTAGAAACTTTTTTATCTCTTGTATTTTTTTTGGATAAAACTCACCGATTTGAAATTAAAAAATAAAATGTAAAGCATTACATGTCAGGACAAAAACATTTTCTGATAAAGAATCTAGTGGGCTGCTGTAATTTTTTAGGAAAAAATCTAGTCGGCCGCTGTTACTTTTAGGATGTTCCTAATATTATTTTATTTGACATTACTCTACTGCAATACGTTATTATCTAGATGATTATTATTATCGTTATTATCACTAGATTCTTAATCTAAAAATGTTTTTTGTCCTGACATGTAATGCTTTACATTTTATTTTTTAATTTCCAATCGGTGAGTTTTATCAAAAAAACACGAGGTAAAAAAGTTTCTAAACAAACTAAACTATCCAAATTAAAGCATTTGCATGTGTTTGATAAGATTTTTCTTTAAATTTCATTAACAAGAATGATAGGGGTAGTTTATTTCAACCCCTTCCACTCATTTTAAAAAAGTAAAAAAATTACCATAAAAACATTATTTTTCCGCCATCTTTGTACCGCGATATCTCCGTAGTGGTTGACTTTTGACCCAACGTTTATAAAGCAAACTACCCTTTATTTTGAACAAGGAATCACCCCCTAAAGTTTTTCGCATTTGTTTTGAAACACCCTGTATATATAAAATACTACCCTACCTTTGTAGAAATGTTTCCCGATTTGTTAGACAGACTTTAGTATAACAAACATCTCATCGTATTACATTTGAAATATTAGAATTAAAGTCATGTAATTTTGACTCACCCTGTATATACCTACCGAAAAATATCTACTTTTGTATAATAATTATAATTTTAAAAAGTATTTTGAACACTATAATTATGATCAATAGCTTGCATTTTTTATAATTTTTAACTATTTTATTAAAAAAAACGAATTAAGTCGAAATAACTACAAAAAATCGAGACCAAAATAACTTCAAATTTAGTAGAAAAATGTATCAAGTCACACTGTATATTTACAACAAAAAAGAACATATTAAAATATCTTACTTCAATTTTTAAATGAATTTTTACATCTTGCAAATATTGAGGCAAAATCTTTAAAAAATTGTCAGCTCTGCAAATATATTTTTTAATTCTTTTAAAAATAATTATAGATAATTATAGATATAGAGTAATAAGAGAATTAATATATTAAATTTTAATTGCAAAAATGAAATAAATTATATTAAAATGCGCTTAATTCTGTAGTTATAACTAAAACTGCAGTTAAATATGAACTCTATTACAAAAAAAAAATAAAAACGCGTTTCTGAAAACCCATATTTTTAATAATAAATCTTATTTTTGCAAATACTATACTGCAGTTAATTTTTCTTTATTTTTTTCCTAACTAAACCTACTTTTACTCACCTTGAAAAAATGCACCTCTGCTTTCCTCCTCCTTACACTCCAGCCACCTCACTCCCCCATACCTCCTCCTCACGATTTTCTTCCTTATTTTTCCTCCTCTCCTTACTCAGGTACTCAAAATTACACGCGCATCTAACCTAGACATATCACAATTATCACAACATTTCAACAACTCAAAAAAACGATTCAAAACAGTCTGTTTATCTTTTTCAAAGTTATTTTTTTAGTTTGTTTCTGACTGTCCTGACAGTATTGTAGTTTGCCTCTGTGCCCTTGTCCCACTACAAGTGCATTTCGGCCCCGACGCAACACAATCAATTCTAGTGTGCGTTGCGTGGTGCGTGTGTGTTAGTGTTCGCTCCGTAGTTGCGACCCTCGGCGCTAAAAAGGGCGCATGTCTAGAGCACTGCCAGCAGCAGCCCCCAGGTTACCTAGAGCGGCGGTGGAGCAACACAGAGAGACGTATATAGGGGAGCGTTGTAGAGTTTGAGGCATATAGAGGCTCTGGATTCGAAGGGGGGAAGCGTCGTGGGACAGGGGCGTAGAGGCGGGTGGAGGAAGAAAGCGAAATTTCGCAGTGGCGTGCCCGAAAGTAATATTATAAAATGTTTTTTGCGACGTGATTATGAAAAATAAAATACTTTTACACCTAAGTAAACAAGTACAAAAATATATTAGAGGAATAATATAGAATACCCCCATTTCACGGAAAGACAGCGATTTTTAATTTCTTTCAATCATTATACAGGGTGGCACATCAAAAACGTTCCGCAAGGTATAACGACCAGGATATTTTTTTTTTCAAAAAGTCCAAAAACACGTCAATTTTGTTTGTTAGAGTAAATGATTTGACAATAAATTCCTTCGACCAATTTGCTCTTTTTTCTTATTATTTCTAGATGCATTTTTTAGATCTTTTTTTTTGGAACCTACTACCCTGTAGAGATATCTAAATTTACCCATTTTTGGAATATTTACAATCTTGCGTACCTATATACAATATATTTTTTTTTAAATTCATATCGCTGCTCTACTTTAAAATATAACAATTTAAAAAATATATGATTAACTACAAATATTAAATAAAAATATTAATTCCTACCTTTCGTATTTTTTTAATTATCCTGCTATTTTAATAAGCTGTTTCTCACTATTTTTCACTAACACTGTAACAAAAAAACTTGTTGAAACAAGGTTGAAACTCATTTTGACACCACAAGCTACTTGATTTCAAAACGCGCACGCACAAATTTCATTTAAATTTTAAAAAAATTCAAGACCGAGCTCTGGATTTGTCTAAATCCATACATAAAATATTATGGTGCGTTTCAGCATTTAATGTACTTTATCTATATTTTTAACTTACTTTTTATGGATTTGTATGCACTCTTTTTTTATGTAAAACCAAAAAAAAATTATATTAATGGAGATATTAATAAAAAAACACAATTTCAAATTAAATTAAAAGAATTTTCGTGCTGCCCCCTATTGAGCAATAGACTTTTTACAAGCAGGAGCGAGAGTACAGCTTACTGTAATACCCATCTTTCATTTTTAGTTATCTGACAGGTCATGACATTTCAGAAGTAAACATTTCGTGGTGATTCAGAATTTGTTGATAAAGTATTTATGTTTATTTGTCTACATTTTTGTCATTTTAATTGTTGATTGTCATCATAAGACTGGTATAAAATTGGTGTATAATTGTGATAATTTTTATAGAAAAATTCCCGTTGGAAGATGTTAAATTAACAAGTTAACTATCGATTCGTATACGTCAAAGGAACAAAACAAATATTGGTCTATTTTTACTAATAATTTTATAACTCCTAACCATGGAAGCTGCCCCAAGACTTCCCATGATAAGCTTTGATCTGCTTTCGTCTACCGAAAGTGTACAGTTTGGTAAAAAGCTGAAACCAGTAAGTAATGTGTAAAGTATGGTATAAAACTTGTGATATATGAGTATGTTTGTTAAAGTATATTGCGAACTTCTACAATGAAGATCCCGAATCTTACACTGCCGAAATCAACCAAATTGATACATTGCGTGCAAGCATTACTCACCCTAGCCCTGATGTTTCCGGAGTTCAACTCTTAAAGAAATATTACTGTCAGCTGCATTTTCTGAAGTCCAGGTTTCCGATGGAGCTTAACCAGCCCTGTTTTATTGAGTTTGAATGGTAGTACTACATTGTAAATATTTGTATGTACAAAATACCTTTTTATTGTTGATTTTAGGAGAGACTGTCAAAATGGTGCTACTGCAGGAAGCATTAATTTCGAATTAATGGCAGTGATGTATAATATTGGGGCCTTACATACGATTCTCGGTGCTCAGGACTCTAGAACAACCCCCGATGGAATGAAATTGGCTTATTCCCATTTTCAGTGCGCTGCTTGGGCATTTCAGGTTTGAATAAATACAATATTTACAAAAATATCCTGAATTTTAATTTATAATTTGTTCTAGGTTGTCAAAGATAAATATTATGATTTAATAGCTTGTGTTACATCAATTGAGGTACCCCTTTTCTATAAAAAAGTCTGCCTAGCTCAAGCACAAGAATGTATTTTAGAGAAAAGTATGCTGGATAATAGAAAGTCGACCATAATTTGTATGTATTATTTTTTTAATAATAGTTATATTTTTTTGATTATTTTTTTTAAAATTTATTATAGCCAAAGTTGCTGTTCAAGTTTATGATTATTATCGTGAAGCTTTGAATACTTTGAAAGGGATAAACGAGGACATTTTTGGGAGAAGTCGTTTCAAAGAGTACATGAAGTATTTTCAGTTTAAATTAAACTACCATAGGTGTATTTCTTTGCTGTTCCAAGGACAACAAGCTGAAGAACTGCAAAAAATGGGCGAGAGAGCTGCTTTCTATCAAGCAGCTTGTGAACAGTTAGAAGAAGCTAGAAAACAACTTACCAGTAAACAGGTAATAATGTATAAAGAATATTTTTGTATTGTTCCTGTTAATTTGAACTATATTTTAGCAAAAAGAACTTGCTGATGCTTTGGCTTTTACTGCGGATGTAGTTGAAGGTAAAAGAAAAGCTGCTAAAAATGAAAATGAGTATATTTACCATGAAGAGGTACCAGATATAGCTAATTTGCAGGAAGTTAAAGGTGCTCCATTGGTTAAGTTGATTGAATTTAATGTAAATGATCCAGAGGTATGTTCTTTTTATTAATATTCTCTAGATCTATTATTTCTTAAAATACTTACATTTAGGTACTATCTAATTTATATTTTTTTAGGTGTCCGGTCCAGACATATTTGCAAGGCTTGTCCCAATGGAGGCTCACGAAGCATCGTCATTATACAGCGAGAAAAAAGCTCAATTATTGAGAAATATGGGCGAAGAAGTTGAAGTAAAAGATCAAGAATTGGCCGAGTTTATGTCTTCAATGCAGCTAGACATGCTAACAAAGGTACCATTAATTTTCCCATATAATTTTACATATAAAATGACAGCGATCTTCATTTCATAGCCACCGCTGACGCCGTTTTTTTTTACATCATATTGTACCGTATGGTCGAAAAAAAATGGCGTTCAGTTGGCTGGGAAATGACGATCGCTGACAGTTCTCATATAAATTTACATATAAAATGACAGCGATCTTCATTGCATAGCCTTCGCTGACGCCTTTTTTTTTCGATCATATTGTATCGTATGATCGAAAAAAAAATGGCGTCCAGTTGGCTGGGAAATGACGATCGCTGACAGTTCTCATATAAATTTACATATAAAATGACAGCGATCTTCATTGCATAGCCTTCGCTGACGCCGTTTTTTTTTCGATCATATTGTATTATAAAACAGAGTTGTAAATAATCATAATTAATATTTTTTTTTTAATTTAGGGTACAACTAGGGGGGTATTGTATATTACAAATATAGTTTATAGATATATACAGGGTCCGGCAATAGTGCGTCGGACATGGGTAGTATAAACATTAATTTTTGATTTTTTTTCAGATGCATCAAGCTTCAGGGATTCCCCAAGAACTGATCGACAGAGCTGCCGCACTTTCGGCCAAACCAAACGCCATTCAAGACTTAGTTGACTCTATGGCGAAGCTTTCTAGCATTTACCATGATGTTGAGGCAAATTTAAATGAGATTGAGGTTCTTCTCAAGGAAGAGGAGGATAATGAGAAGAGTTATCAGGAAATCATGGGAAAAAGACCTCCTAGTATTATTACAACTGATCTGGCTAGAGAGTCATATAAGTACAAAGAGGCTCATAACAAAGCCAATGAGTCGAATCAGACTTTGAAGAAAGCTATGATGACTCATATGGAGAATTTGAAGATTCTCCAGACGCCTATTAGAGAGCTTCAACAAAGGTTGCCTAGTGTTGAGTTGCCTGATGGTAAGTATTTTTTTGTTTTTATTTTTTTTATTTTTTATATATTTTTTCTATTTTTTCTTTATAGTTTTTCAAATAATTTCAAAATTTCTGTTATATTTTTTACGTAAAAAACGGGAGAAATGTATAGTTCTTCACGCAGTAGTTTAATACAGGGACAGATGAAAACTCTTTGGAAAAATTGAAATAAAAATTAAACTTTTACACCCTGTATCTCCAAAAGGAAGCATTTCAAGGCATACATCTATACAAACTTTTGTATTGATTTTTATCTGCAGAATATGCTGCCAAAGAGTCATGAATACAAGTCGGACCACCCTGTATATTGTGTTTTTACCGTTTTAAAATAAGTCCAAACTGGCAGTGATATTTGTTTTAAAATTGAAAAAAAAATATTTACATTTTTAGAGCTTCTGGTTTATTTTACAAAAATACAAGGCATTGCATTTTTTTTTTGTTTTTTGATGTGTTTTTTGTCACACACTGTATAACTAAAAAAGTCCTAAAATTGAAGAAAAATGTTCACATTTTGAAAACTGCTGGTTTAATTCGTTTCATTATTAAATCGACTACCCACGTTGCCACATCAACATGAAAGTATTTTATTTAACGTAAAAATATTTTGTAAAATTTGACACTTTTTTATCTCAGGGGATTTTCAAAAGTGAATGGCAACGTTGCTCGCTCTTAGTACACGGCGAAGAAAATATTATGAGAAAATTTTTTAAAATAAAATATATCAGGAAATTCAAAGAATAATAAAAACATTTTGTTTATTTTTCTTTTTTCATGCATTTTTTTAGTGTAATATATAAGTTCTAAAACTGAAAAATTTTGACACTCACATTTTGAGAGCCGCAGATGTTATCTAAATTTAATCGACTACCCACGTTGCCATATTAACATGAAAGTATATGTTTAATGTAAAAAAACTTTGTAAAATTTCACGTCATCTATATCAGGGATATTGCAAAGATGTGTGGCAACGTTGCGTGCACTTGGTGCATAGTGAAGGATATATCGTACGATCGAAAAAAAAAACGGCGTCAAGGACGGCTGGGAAATGACAATCGATGATAATTTTGGCGAGGTCAATCTCTAGACGCCATTTACTAAAAATTGACATAAAACTTTTTAAAGATTTAAAAAAATGAATAGAATTCTTAAGTAAGCACCATTAAAAAATAAAGATGAGTAGTTGACCTCGCTAAAATTATCATCAATTGTCATTCCCCAGCCTTCACCGACGCCGTTTTCTTTTCGATTATTCTAAGAAAAACTCTAATAAGCCTGCAGTTCTAAAAAGTATTGTAAAATATGCAGGGAAATTTATTGTATAAAAAAATATATATTATTTTAGCTAATATTGATCAAAACTTACTGAAAGAACTTGAACTTCTCAACTCTAAAGTTGACGAAATGAAAACTCAACGAGCCATGTTGTGGGCTCAATTAAGAGATTCCGTTCACAATGACGACATAACCAATGCCTTAGTCACTAAACCTCAAGATACATCACTTGAACAGCTGTTCACTAAGGAACTAGACAAACACACCGCACTAGTGAACTTGTTGCTTCAAAATTTATCAGCCCAAGAGAACATTAGGAAGGCTTTTATTGATTGCTACGCTGGAGCAGTGAACACAAGAAGATATATACAGGATATTATACAGAAACGGAATTCAACAGTTCAGGCTTTGATAGCGTCACATGATTCGTATGATGATTTGTTGGCCAAAGCTAATAAAGGTAACTATAGTATCATAACATATACATCTTCTCGCGTAACATTTCCTTGCTTTGACAATTTTTATTTAACAGTATTGCTATTATAGGTATTGAGTTTTATACAAAACTTGAAACAAATGTTTCAAAATTACTTCAAAGAATAAAAGGTGCAAGTAAAGTCCAGCAAGAAGAAAGAGAACAAATGCTCGCGAAAAGTACAGCTAAAAAAGCTGACGTCACTCCCACACCAGTTAATTCATCAGTTTCATCAGCTCCAAAATTAAAGGACTACCTTGAAGCTAGAAAAAAAGCTGGATCGTTGCCTTCATACCAAACCATGACCTATGGAGTACGTTTTATTGATTTTTTTCTCCAAAAAATTGTAACAAATCATTTATTTTTTTACAGGGAATATCACAAAACCTTCCTGACTCTCAAAACTGGCCCCCTAGTGTTAGACCTGCTCCAGTTGGCTCAGAAATTAACTCTGATCCAACTAATCGTTTTGCCAATGAAAACACGGCTTTATATTATCAACAAACTAATCAAGGTTATGGTCAACCTTCTCAAAACTCTTATAATTCTCCTGCACCTATGACAGATTTGACAAGCAGAATGGGGACTTTGATGTCAAAGCCAGATCAAGCTTCTGTACCGGTCGTGTCAAACTATAACACCCAGTATTCTTACAGCAACTACATTCCGCAGAATTATACTCCCACGTCATATACTTATGCTTCGCAAGTTTACACTGATAATCATGATGTTCAGAGCCCTACAAGTCATGATTCTAGCAAGGCTAATACTAGTACTACTAATTCTTATAATACTATATCAAGTTACATGCCTAATGTTGCTCAAAATTCTGAAAATACAAATGTTGGAGCTTACTCTGGATATGGTCAACCTGCAGCAAATCAAAAATCAGTACAACTGGATGAAACTGCAAGTAAATCAGCTGGAAATCAACAGACTCAATATTCATCTCAGCAATATTCACAAAGTCCATATTCACAATACCAGAACAGTTCTCAGTACGCTCAGAACTACCAGAATCAGAATTCTCAGTTATCTCAGTATTACCAATCTCAAAACGCTTCACAGTATCCCCAACAGCAATATGCTGGAGCAAGTCAGCAACAAGGTTATGTTTCAACTGGTCAGCAACCTAATTATGCCGGTTCAACACAACAGCAACAGTATAATAATACTCAGAATCAACAACAAGCATATGCTTCTTCAGTCGGTCAGCAACAGTATGCTACTCCAACTCAGCAATATCCGTCCCAGAATGCTTCGTCAGGTTATTATCAAACTTCACAAAATGTTAATGCATCATCAGCACTAAAATCATCATCTGAACCTCAAATTAAGGCTCCTGGTCCAGAATCTGGAGTAGTGGGTCAGCAAACTCCTAGTAATCAGCAACAAGGTTACGTTTCAACTGGTCAGCAACCTAATTATGCTGGATCCACACAACAGCAACAGTATAATACCCAAAATCAACTACAAGCATATGCTGGAACTGGTCAGCAATCAAATTATCCTAGTTCAGTTCAACAACAACAATATTCTAGCTTAACTCAAAATCAACAAACATATGAACCAACTGGTCAGCACTCTAATACTCGGTTAAATCAGCAACAGTATGCTACTCCAAGTCAGCAATATCCTCAGGGTGGTATTCCACAAGAACAGGCACCGACGCTAAAATCTTCGTCAGAAAGTCAAATTAAAGCGCCTGGTCCGGAATCTGGAGCACTGACTCAGCAAACTCTTAGTAATCAGCAAGTAGGTGTTTCTGGTACTTATGGTCAGTACCAAAATATGAGTTATCCTCAAACTCAGACGCCTGGATATGCATCGCAGCAGCAAGGAACAGCTAATATGCAGCAAACTTACTATCCTTATGGATATGCTCCAAACTTTTCCAGTAATCTTGATGTAAGTATTTTTTTAGATATAATAATAAATTAAGTTTGAATCACCTTGTGTATTTAGAAAAATATTTTAGTAAATGATATGAGCATTTTCAGAATAGTGGGCCACCCTGTATAGTTATATATATATTTTTTGCTTTATATAGTCTTCGAAGAGCATGTCTTTTTTAAGCATCCTTGATAGTGATAGATGTGTCTGTCATTTTAATTTCAAAGTAGTTTATTTTATTTTACAAAGAAATAAGTTGGTACAATCGGAGCGCATAGCAGGAAATTAATATATTTAAAATTTGATTAACAAGTGATTACTTCAAAATATTGTGAAAAGAAACTTTATAAAACTGAAAAAATGTAATTGAGTTATTTTATTAAAAAAAAACGGTATGTGTTAATACGAAACAAACAAGAACGAAACACCACATACCAAAAAAATATAAAAAAGAACTATTTCTTACTTAGGTATACAAACTTTATTGATGCTAACTTTATTGCTGTATAAGACTTTCTGCCTGGGCAGCGAGTATTAACTAAAAAACTGTGCTCCGGGTCTACAGTTAATTTTTCCTCGATTTTTCCTCCACTTGACTTAGAAAGACACAAAACACACGTAATAACACGAATCAAAATGCATCATCTTCCAAAACGCAGGGTATTTGACATAAGTTGACACAAAATTATAACCTATAAATTGGCAAGACTTTGACCAGCCTCAAAAATCTAAAGGCGAGTTCATAGGCATCGGCGTCCGTTTGTCGTTCGTCATTCCGTCAAACCAATAAAATTGAAATATCATCTGTCATTTTTGAAGTAAACCAATAAAACTGGTTAAAAACAAGGGACGACGCATGATATTTATGGGGATTTACTAAAATAACACATTAATTGATTGACTAAAATATCTTTTAGACTGCTTCTCAGAATTTATACAACGTGACGCAGTATCAGAATCAGTATTATACTCAGGAACATGCCACATCTGTTGCATCAAGCAACATCAACAATTACTCCACCTATTCCGCTCCACACAATGATTACAAAGTTCAAACAGGATCACCGAACGTTTATAATATGTCGACAGGTGTATCACAGGCTGTAACAAGTGAGGTTATGTGATATATTTCTGAATATATTTAAAACAAAATATTATTTTTTTAAAGGTAATGTGAATTCATCTGCAGCAACAACTCCGGCGAACTACAGTAATTATGGCAGTGTCTACGGTTATAGTCAGGCAAACTATCCAGCTACAGTGACTACAGTTTCCTACACTAATCCAACGATGACAGCTCAAACTACGTCAAATAAGGACTCTAACATTGATTTACTTTCAGGTAATTATACTATTGTCTGACAGTGACAGTTGGGTCTGTCATTTTAATTCAGACAAAATAATATTTTCTTTGGGTATGGATTTTCCTGTTTGTCAGTGACATATTTTCCAGATTTTTACACTTTGCATAAAGTTAATTTAAAAAAACTCGTAAAAAACAGTATATATAAATAAATAAATAACGCTTTATTGTACACAAAGCCAAAATAGCTTCATCAACAAAGCATTTACAAAACAAACAAAAGCACAAAAAAATATACAAATAAAAAAAATATCATACAATACAAATCATAGAATTAAAAAAAAAATTACGTTATTAAAATTACTACATTAATACATGGACATTGCGGAACACAAAAAAAGGCGTATCAATAAAATTTTACAATAGGAAAATTGTAAATGTATATAATCATTTAAGAGTCATAAAATATTAAATACTAGACTTTTAACCAGTGTGTGAGATGATCAAAATTTTAAAATTCAAAATTGTTCATGATTAACATTTGTAATATTAAGTATTATTATTAAGTATATAATTTGTATTTTCTCTAGGTTTGGATTTCTCTGTTAGTCAAATACCGACTTTAACACCCCAGCAAAACGTTTCACAAGAAAAACTAAAAGAACCTCAGCCTGACACTAAGTCTGTGGCTCCATCTATCGAGATCAAACAGCAAACACCTGTTGTGCAAGTAAAGGAAGAAAATGCGAAGAAAGAGGTTGTTAGGGTGTTGCCTACCAAACCACTTAACAACAGTGAGGTAAGTACAGTAAAGAGATAAAAAAACGGCGTCAAGTTGTCAAAAAAACTATCAAGAATGGAGTTCATGATGTCGATTAGCATTATACTTCTTCATTTATCTTTTTATACAAAGATTTTTATACTTTTTTGTAGGTTAAATCACTGTTTAATCAAGAACTGGAAAAATACGAAAAATACGTTGAAACATTGACTACGAAAACACTGAGTGGCCCCACTACTTTAGACGTCAAATGGAAAGAAATCCAAGACTGGCAAGAACTGGATAACCAAAAAAGGATCATTTCTGTGGCCAGGTGTTATCCAATGAAGAACAGGTATCCAGATATATTACCTTATGATTACTCCAGGGTTGAATTGAAGTATTCTGATGATGATTATATTAATGCCTCATTCATTGAGGTAAGTATAATAATTTTAAAAGATATACTATTTATTTTTATTAAATTTTGTTTCTAGCAATTGTCACCGTTTTCACCACAATTTATAGTGACTCAAGCACCATTAGCGTCGACCTTTAGTGATTTTTGGACTATGGTCAGGGAACAGCAGGCTGAGTTAATATTTTGTCCATTAAATGAAAAAGAAGTATGTACTTTTTTCTACATATTTAAATTTTTTTATTATTTTTTAATTTTATTATTTATTTTTTTTTGAATTTTATTATTTCTTTATTTTTTAATTTTAATATTTCTATATTTTTTAATTTTGTTGTTTGTTAATTTAATTTTTCTTTTCTCTAACATTTTTTTATTAGTTTTTATTTTTTTTTAAGTGAATTATTTACGTTTTACATATTTTCTGTTATAGATTGGAGATGATATATATTGGCCAACAGAAAAAGGTAAAAACATCAGCATCTCCAACATGGTTTTGTCTTTACAAAGCATGGTAGTTAAACCAAACTGGATAGAAAGGCTTATCCTGATAAGCATTCCAGAGAAAAAAGAATCCTCGGTGGTGATGCATTTGCAGTTTACCTCTTGGCCTGGAAGGTAGGTTAAATATACAGGGCGTTCATTTTTTTAGGACCAGTGAGAGAAAAACTTTTTTTAAGAATTAGTTGTTGAAATATGTTGAAAGTAGGGCATTCAATCCCGGGATCCCGGAATTGTAATTTATTTAGTCTCGGGATTTTCGTTATTCATCTTTACACTTTTTCATTAATCTATATTGTGTCGAAGTTTTGCATAATAGTACAATTATGCGCGCACAGACAACCTTGAACATATGGCAACAATGAAGAAATATTTTATGTTTATTGCATTCATGCTTACCTAATGATTATGTTCTTTTTGGTTTAAATTATTTTTTTGTACTACTAAAAGAATAATTATTTATTTGTTACATTTTTTGTAATTGTTTATTTATGTTTATGCGTTTCATGTTCTTTTTGGTTTAGATTAATTTCTTTCCTACTAGAATAATCGTTTTTTGTTATATTTGTTTAATATTTATGTTTACTGCCATCTATGTTTATGTTCTTTTTGGGTTAGGTTATTTTTTTCCTACTAAATGAATCGTTTTTTATTTCATTTTGTTACTGTTTATTTTTAATGCATTTACGTTCACCTCTGTTTCATCTATGTTTGTGTGTTTATGTTATTTTTAGTCCTCTGAATCGAACGAAGAGAGTATGTTTTAGATTCTTGGTTTTGTGTTAATGTTGGATTTTTTTAAATAAAAGGTTTTCTTACAGTTGAGGGTTGGAACCTTTGGTGTTACACAGCAAAATAAAAACACTAAATCACCACAATACACCAAAACACTTTTACTTTTACACTGGACGCGCGTTTCGCTAACCATGTTAGCATCATCAGCAGATGATTATAAACTAAAGTACAATCTACAAGTTGAGCGTTTATATACTCGCCCAGTGGGCACCGAGTGGGCGTGGCAAAATCTAGCAAACCGAGTCAGAGCCCACTGAGCGTAACAGTTAGATTTCCGCCACTAGAGTAGTAGGAACAAAGAACCTGAAGGAATTGGACCATTGTCTCTGTTCATACTATCTTTACATTTATTAATTCTGATGCTTTCATATGCATCTAATTGCCTGTAATTTGAGACTTGTTTAATTAATTTTAAATTATTAAGATCTATACAATGTTCTTTATCAACAATATGTTCGGCAACGCAAGATTTATCCGGTCTACCATATCTTATCTGAGCTAAATGTTCTTTAAATCTAGTTAATATTGATCTTCTAGTTTGCCCAACATATTTCTGATCACAATCTTTACAAGAAATTTCATAAATACCTGATAACAATCTTTATAAGAAATTTCAGAAATACCTAATATTCATTTGAATGTCTAACAATTCTATCATGATGTATTATAAAATTATTAGTATTTATGAAAAATGTATTTTTATAGTCTGTTTCCTACAAGCCCCGAACCTTTCATAAGCTACGTTTTGGAACTGATCAGTCTGTTCCAACAACAAAAAACACCCAGTCATCCCATCGTTGTCCATTGTTCATCGGGCATCGGAAGAAGCGGACTTCTCTGTCTGTTGACCAATGCCATTCTCCAAGTGACCAATCAGGCCAACGCTATTCCAGATCTGGCATTACTAACCTCAAAACTAGGAAATTTCAGGAAAAACATTCTTAGGGATAGAGAGCATTTGAGGTTCGCCTATGAAGCGTTGCTTTGTTACATGAAACAAGTTCTTCTGCAAGGTAAGTTTTTTTTTATTTTTATTCCAACTTTTTGTTTTATTCATTTTATATTGTTTTATACTAGCTCTGGTCACTGTATTTCCGTGATCTGTACTTTAATGCATACGACAGAGATACATATATACGACCAGTTGACAGACAAAGAGACACAAAATAAAAAGCGGCATGCAGTGTTGCCGGTTCGTACGAAAAATACAATAATAAACGACCGAAAAACAATACCGGGTGCGTCTCAAAAGTGGCTCACCTCTATAACTTTTTATTTTTTTCAGATAAAGAAAAGAGATTTTGGTATGTTAGTATATGACATAAATTAGGATTGATTGACGTATTCAATTGTTTTTGGTTACTTCCGGTTTCACCGGAAATGACTATAACTTTTGATTTTTAAATGACACCCTCGGTATTTTTTTACTTTATTCGATAGAAAATGACACACTGAATAGAATGACGTATCATATGCCAACTTTTGACATTTTCTCATATGGTTTATTTGAAATTGTAACATGCGGTTCATAACGACAATTTGACTCGAAATACCAAGTGTGTGGTACCAAATTATTCGTAAAAAATGCTTTTCCCAAATGCCAATTAGCCACCTTTGTTCCATTTGAAAAAATTGAGATATGATTAAAAATACGATTTAGGCATTTTTTAACTGGCCAGAACAAGACACGAAAAACATTAGACGATCAAATCTATTTTTTCAAGGCTTCTTGATTAAAAATTAGTGTTTTTAACACAGCCATGGCACTCTAGATTGAAATTTAAAATACCAATTTTAAGTGAAAATGTCAAAAATTGACATATGATATGCCATTTTGTTCAGAGTGTCTTCAGAGAGAAAAATATACCGATAGTGCCATTTAAAAATCAAAAGTTATAGTCATTTCCGGTGAAACAGGAAGTGACCAAAAACAATTGAATACGTCAATCAATCCTAATTAACGTCATATACTATCATGCCAAATCTCGTTTTTTTTTATCTGAAAAAATTACCTTTTACTTTTGAGACGCACCCGGTATAGTAATTTCTGTTATTTTTTTATGTCGTTCGTCGAAATGTTCTCTAAGTCAAATGAACTCAGTGGCATTTATTTCAATCATTTTTGATCGAACTGTATAAAAAAATTCTCTTACAAATAACGCGTTTTTTAGAAATAAAATAATCGAAATTAAGAAAATAAATGATATAGGATCAATAAAATCTCATTTTTCATACTATTTTTTGATTTTATTTACAGATACTTTGAAGAAAAAACTAAGCGAAGTGGTTCCAGTTAAAGAAGAACCCAAACCCACGCCAGAGGTACAAGAGAACATCATTGACCCTCTGAGTACCTTGGACCCATTTTGGGCAAGCAAAAAATAACTTATTTCCGATATTATAAATGTCTAATAATATTATTCTTATTATTATATAGATAGTACATACAAACCTTAATAACATTTTAGGCTGATTAGATTTATAATATGTTAATATAATTTATCAACTATTCGAATAAAATTATGTTGAAAATTATTACAGTTTTTTTTATTGAAGTCTCAGACTGACAAATAAAATGCAAATAGTAATGGCTCTGTTTTTTTATTACTCTGGGTGAATGGTTTTTAAAAAGCATCCTTTTTTAAGGTGTTTCGTATTGAGAAAATGGTTTCTATGGGTTTAGGATGGGCAAATGTCAAAGTAGGTGTTGGATTCTTTGTTTTTACTCTTTTTTCTATCAGTTTTATACCGAAATAATAGAAGATCTCTGCCACTGCTATGAAACTGAAACCAGTGAATAGTCCGAGAATGCCACCATAATATGCTAAAACATGAGTAGATTGAATTATTTTTTATCAAAACTATATATTTTTCTCAGATATGATATGACTCAATATCTATAGTCTGTCCATCAGAGGACTTGATATTGGCAGTTGTGCGTTTTAGCTTTAAATTATAGTACTAATCTTATTTCTACAGAATTGTCTTTACAAGAAGAAAAACTTTTTTATTATGTATATTTTGAGAAAAATGTTTGCTTGTTGTTGTTTGCTCACCTAAAATAGTATGCCAGGAGAACAAAACTTCTCTTCGGTATTTTGAACCAACCAAATCCTCAAAATACACTCTGATCACTGAGTGATTCCCCAAAGATGACTTGTCACTAAAAGAAACAAGTTTCACCAACGAAACGAGGAAAATTGATGTGAGAAACTATACATATCCATGGTTGCTTGTTTGGGTTATAGAATTTATGGTGTTCTTACTACTTACATGCCAAAACGGTTTGTAAAATGTACATCGAATGATCCTTGGTAGCAAGCCGTCGAATATCTCACAGTTTCACAATCTTCTGGGCAATCATAACTTGACACATTTTCTTTGTTGGTTTCATAAAGATCTAGAAGGTGAATAAATAAGAAAAAAATAATTATAAGTAGACCTTGCAGTCAAACACTGTTCTTTTTAGAACCTCTTTTAGTGCAAAGTGTACAAGATAGTATGTAAAAGTGGGCAATGCTGTGTCGGTCAGCTTAATCACGTGACTAAATGTTTATTTGGTTTGATCTATATATTATAATACAGCATACCATCATGCTCTTTTAAGTGTGCAGTAAATCATATGTTTACCTTCATATTGAGTCACACATAATGCATCTTTAGGTGTGCACACTCTCCATTTCTTTTTAGTTTCTAAAAAAAATCGCACCAAGAAAGTGGTTATCATATACATACAAATTATGTTATTCTCTGTTTAAATTTAATAAAATTATATAAGGATTCTTGCCACTTAATTGCTTATATTGAAATTTAATTCTACGCAGTGTTTATCATAATGTGGATCAACCTGCTCTCACTACCGGTTTCGGAGCCCTACTCCATCATCAGGTGAGCTTGGGCAGATCCACAAAATGACAACCACAGCGCAGAGATAGTTAATTCCGACTTGTCGGAAAGTGTCGGTTAGATATTAAGTCTCGAACGGGGCCCAAGCTTACCTGATGATGGAGTAGGGCTCCGAAACCGGTAGTGAGAGCAGGTTGATCCGTATTATGACAAATACAGCGTAGAATTAAATTTCTATATAAGCAGTTAAGTGGCAAGAATCCTTATATAATTTTATTATATACCTATACTGCAAGAAATTTGTTTTCTATTTTATAATTTGGCTTGCCTGAAAAAAAGCCTTTTACCATACTTTTACTATCGATAGTTGCGCCCCGGTGGTACGAAGGTACTACCATTGCACGCAAGCCGCTATTTCCCGTTCAGGACTCAATATCTAACCGACACTTTCCGACAAGTCGGAATTAACTATCTCTGCGCTGTGGTTGTCATTTTGTAGATCTGCCCAAGCTCACCTGATGATGGAGTAGGGCTCCGAAACCGGTAGTGAGAGCAGGTTGATCCACATTATGACAAACACAGCGTAGAATTACATTTCTATATAAGCAGTTAAGTGGCAAGAATCCTTATATAATTTTATTATAAAAATAAATTACAATCTTCTTAAGCGTCTAAAAAAATAAAGAGTACGAGCTCAATGTCGTCTAGTCATTGAGCTCGCCAAAATTATCATCGATTGCCTTTACCGAGCTGTCTTTGACGCCATTTTTTTATCGTAGGGTTCAATAGTTATTATTGACACTAAATCACAATAAAAATATATTACCTACCTCTGTTCGGAATATAGAATGGAATACATCCGCACTTTTCATAAGTAATTTTGGCATTATGATCAACCAGACAATTGTGAAAATTGTAAAAAGGAAAAAAAGTCATCCGTCTTTCGTCAGGAAACAAACAATTTCTTTGATATAGAGGCATTCTGCGCAGACCTGATGATGCGCTGACTATTAATGGAGTTATACCAATCAGAGTGTTGGTTTCTATAGAGCACAGTATGTTACTGGATGCTACATCTGGGAAGTCTTCACTTAGGTGTATTAAGATCTGGAAAATATGCATGTAGTTGTAGTGTTAATAATATCTTAAAATAATTATTATAATTGAAAGTATTCAGTAATAAAATAATATTGGATTAGTCTCAAAAGGTTGTGCTATTTACCCTGTACCCAACAGAAGATATATCTGTTACAAAATAATCATCAGGATTATTGTCCAGCAGTACCTCCAATCCAGATTGGTAACCTACACCTGATACTCTTTTAGGTTCTTGTAATTCTTTTGCATATCTAAAATATTAAAATATATACCGGGTGATACATCATAGACACACAAGTTGTGTTGTTCACTGTTTTACTTTGTTTTCAAGTAAAACTCCAATAAGATTTTTTTCTATTATGCATTATAAACAAAATGTAAACCGAGTAAAAATTAAGTAAAGTTAACCCACAGTATTAATGTACATTAAAATTAACTAAAACACTAATTTGAAGTAACAATATAAATTGTAAAGTAGCTAAAATTCGTTTAAGTATCACTTTTTGATTAAATTCAAATAAACAACTTTGTTGAAACGATCTTACATGCTCTTCCTGATTGGTTTTATCCGTTCTTTTTTATTCAGTGACAACATTTGGTTTTTGATATATATTTTAATAAGTATAGACGCTATATATTTGCTTAAAGAAGCATTTTTTTATAAAAAATTGTATGAGATTATAAGACATCTTGCATGTATTCAGGTATTATCTCCTTTATGTGATTCTCTAACTATTTTATTGAATTAAACACAGAATGAGTGTTAAATAAGTACAAATATTTTCAGGGCTGGTAGACCTCGATAAAAGAAACATATTTTCTCTTTACCGTTTTTCAAATATGTCCAAAATAACCGAGATATTCAAATTTGAAACAAATAATTTTTAAATTTTTTTAAAAATTGATTTATTTTTAAAAAAATTTGAGAGCCATCCAGATTTTTTCTGTATTTGCATCTTTTTAGTAAACCGTAACCATAGAGTAAAGCCGTAACTATGGTAATATACCGTGGGAAATTTGCGGTGAACAGGCAGTTCTAAAAAGTTTTTTAAAATATACAGGAAAATGTAAAAGAAAATGCACGATTTTCAACATCTTTAACCATCATAGACGTTTTCCTGGGGTCAAAATCTTAAATCTTAAACCCCTAAAAATATTTGCACTTAGACTCACCCTGTATAAAAAGATTAATGGTAGTTCGACTCTTTAAGTACTTACAGTTTATATTGGATGTAGTTGAATGAGCAACAATAGCCGTTCGCTGTTTTAGTTTGTGTAAATAATTGCTTGCATCTATCTTCATTTCCTTTCCAAATACAACGTTTGAGAAAATCGGAACAAGATGGTGCTACCGACTGAAAAATCTTTTTCAAAAGATAAATACATGAGAAATATTACCCAGAGAAAGTTAATATAAAAACAGTACAATAATAAAACATATGTTTTCAAGATATCAACGATTTCTTAGATGTTCTGATCTTTCATGGTTTCCGAGATCCCCGTAGTCACTCTGGAATTTGAGCTATCTTTTATACTTTTGTTTATTTTTTTCTTTTCAAACATTTTATAGAGCGTACTAGATTATCCTGTTTTATTTAATACTTTGTACCTCTTGACGGCAAAGTAAGAGTTTATTGTCAATCTTGTGGTACGGCTGACTGATTGACCAAATGATATGGATCAATTTGACAGATGTTGTCATTTATTCTCTCTATTTTTGTTTAAATTTTGATTCAAGCATTTTCTATATATTTCAATATCTTTCTAGATTTGAGTATTCTATTTTCTTACTATTTTTCGTTAAATTTCTATTCTATAATATCCACATTGATTTGCAGAGATCTCTATTATATGTCTATTATGCGTGCGTGACGTGAGCTGTCAATCGAATATGGCAGAGTTTAAATCCTAATTTATTTACTAATTAACTTTCTCTACCTATACAACAAATCAGAGATCATTAAAATCTATCCACCTCATCTTGAGTTATAAATAGTTAACAAACAAGCTTTGTTTGATTTATTTAGATTAAAACAACAAATTACTTACCTTCTCAATAGTTTTATTTTCAACTTTCAAAATACTCTCCAGTATTTCATTATCTTTGTTATTGTAATCGTACTCTTTATCGTTATTTAACAAATAAATAAACGACTCAAAAAATTCGTCGACATCAGAAACTGGAATATCTGTTTTTCTGGATATTCTGTAACAAGCAAACTCTTATATTTTTTTCTTACATTATCTTTTATGTAAATAAATAATATTACATACATTTGTGCTTGCTGTGCTGCTAACTTCTTAGATATTTTATTAAAATTACATATGGTGACTGCTGGAAATGGGTAGTTGTAAATCAGGTGTTGGTAGGATTCTGCCAGAAAAACTACTGGGCGTTCTTGAAAAATAAACCAAGCAGCTAGGAGTACTGATAATGCTGTTATGAAAGCCGCCACGCATACCAGTATCCAAGATATTCTACAAAATATTGAAATTTTAATTTGTAGTATGCACACAACCAAAGTTATAAGTATATGGGATCACTCATTCGCTCTGTACAAAAGAATAGAAATAAAAAAACACATTTATGTGCAGAAAAATTTTACTAGTGCAAAAAATCTGTAATAAAAATCTAGTCTATATTATTTTATGATAAATTTTCAAAAAAAAAATTACTTTCCGCACTTTGAAGTTGCCAATATGGAGAATTTCCACCCGTGCAGACTCGTATTCAGGCAGAACTGATCCCATTGATATTTTATTCGTCTAAATAAATATTTATTTTTCATTTTGTTCGGTTAAAAGCCCAGACTTTTATTTAAATTAAAATATTCCCTCGGCTTTAAAACACAAATTGTGATTTATTTATGGGCATATTTAGTTTTATTGGCTTTTCGATTGTATCAAAGTTTTAAATAAATGATTTTTACTTGCGAGCATTAGAGAGCTACATTTAAAAAAAAAATATATTTAACCCGTATTTATTTATTTTTTTAATAAAATACAGTTTCTGTAAAAGTTTCTTACTTCCAAAAACCAAAAAATATTTACAGTGTGTCCCTGTTGCAACTTGTAAAGTGTGTTTTGTCGCAGAGCTAATATTCTGTGATTTTGTGGTGATATAAGGTTTGAGTTTGTCGATTAATGCACTTGAAACAGAAATAAAACGCTAAATTAAAAACAGCAATTTATTTAGTAATTACATTAAAACAAACTAATTTATAAATAATACAAAATAAAAACAATAAAACAGATAAAACTAGAAAACAACGTTTCTTAGACGAACAAAAAATATAAAATTTTATATTTGAATCTGTATAATATTTTTTTCCTAATCTTACCTACAGCAAATATATTATTCTACTTAATTAATAATAATAAAAAAATAAATTATTTGTACCTTAAAATTTATAACGTACTATATTTAAAAATATCATATTTTCGACGATTTGTAGATTGATTGTTACTCTTTCTACCAATATCCTTTTTTATAGAGCTTGGACCTTTTTTCTCTTTTTTTTTCTTGTAAGTATGACCTGGGGTTCCTTAATAACAGTTTCATTATTTTCCTGAGTAGGATCCTGGTATTTTATTTTTTCTTTTTACTATCTATCTTCCTGTAACCTCTGATAACTCTGAAAGAAAAAATATAAATAAAATAATATAAATTTTCTAAGTTTCTATGAAAGAAAATGCCTTCATTTTGCTATATACAGGGTGATGAGTCTTAAATAAGTGGAAATATTTTCAGTGCTAGTAGATCTAGATAAAAGAAACATATTTTCTCTTTACCGTTTCCCAAATAAGTCCAAAATAACCAAGTTATTTTACTTAAAAATAAATATTAAAAAGTTTTCTGTATTTCTGTATGTACCCATGGTATTCTAAAATGTAATTTTTATATATTTTCATATTTACAGTGGCTATATCTATTTGATATAATAAGTTATTAAAACTTAACTACGTAACAATGTAACGTAATTTTCAACTAAAATGTTTGTAGAACAACACATAAACGACAAAGTATGTCGAAGTTATTTTCTCCAAAACATAACTTAAGGAATTTCATCAAATAACTTTGAACATATCAGATAATCTGCTATAAACACCAAAGATTGTTGTTAAATTTTACTTTCATTTACGATATACAAGTAAGTTTTACAATATAAAGTTAAATTATAGGTACTTTATTTTGTTAACAAAGTTTTTTACTTTTAGAAAGAAATTCGTAGAAAACTTTATACTTTTTACTACAATAAAATAAAAAGTAAAAAATTTATAACGTATATGTCTATTTTTTAAATCTTTTAACGTAAAGAATATATAAAAATATATTGAGCCTCTGTTTTTAGAGCTGTTTTAGCATTATCTATATGTCACTCACGTTATATTCTCATTTAAAATGACATTTTGATTAATGTTCAAACACGCCATGTTTAAATAGATACTAGATACCAACAGTAGGCCAATTTACGCAAACATCAATTATGAAGACATTGAAATACATTTATATGTGTTTTAAACACCGAAATGTTACATATAATTGTTAAATAATTGCTATTTAGTAATTTGTAATTGAATATGCATTTTGTTTATAGAAGAAAATATTTAATTTTATATGTTTTACAACTGTGGTGTTAGTATTTGGCAGAAAAATTTAATTAAAGCATCTAGAAATCTATAAAACAAAAATTAAATTAAATTGTACTGAAGCTGTGGTTGGTTCCTTGTGAAACATCGTTGAAATATTAGTATTTTAATAAAGCACGCTTTTAGATGTTTCAAAAAACTTTTAATAAGAGTAACTTTAACTCTACATATATGTTTCGGCTTTTTAGGCCTTTTTCAAGAGTTTTTTAAGAACTAATCGTCTAACTACACTGTAACTATATATATATTTGCTATGGGGGTGGGTTCAGAGAGTTTACAATAGGGGTAATAAAAAATGTGTTTAGAAATCCTTGTTGGTCGTTAACATTATTTTCGTTTTTAACAGATTTTAGTATTTCTAACTATTCAATGTAATTTAAGCGTCTACCTTTTGTTTCTCTGTGTAGTAACTTAATTGAGTTTTCATTAGTTTTGTGATTATTTACTATGCAATGAGTTGCAAGACCAGAACTATGCTGGAGATTATTAATAGACTTTACATGTTCTTTAATCCTTATATCTAAATTTCTACCTGTTTGACCTATGTACACGGCATCACAATTATTGCAATCCACCCTATATACACCCAACTTATTTTTGACATTAGTTTTGTCTTTATTATTTAATAAAATTGACCTAAATTTCTTTTATTTACGTTAATAGTTTTACATCCTATTTTATTGAGATTATTTGATATTTTGCTAGTTAAATTAGGAATGTAGTTTAAAAGTCGATAATTGTTATTGTCTTTAGAATTAGCGGAATAAAAATTTTTCGTTAATATTTTCTTTTGTTTTTTCTTTAGCATATTATCAATAAGGGAACACTTATATCCATTGTTGATGGCGATTTGTTTAATAATATTTAACTCTTTTTTAAATTTCTCTGGGCTCAGTGGAAACATTACTAATCTATGAATTAAACTATGAAAGGGTGACATTTTGATTTGCCAGGATTGGTGTGATTGACTATGTATTACAGTGTCTGTGGTAGTGGGTTTTCTGTAAATATCAAATTGTAATCTATTAGACTGTTTTATAATTGTAACATCAAGAAAATTGATGGTATTAATACCTTTTCAATAGTAAATTGTATTCTCGGGTTAATTGAATTTAATAATGTTAAAAACTGTTTAAATTTCTCTCGGTGCCTGACCAAATACAAAAAATGTCATCTACATATCTTGCCCAATAATTTATTTTTGATATTAAACTACTCTTGTTTTTAAATAGCTTCTTTTCAAAATCTGCCATAAATATTTCTGCGAATAACGGTGAAATTGGGGAACCCATCGGTAACCCATCTTTCTATTTAAATATTTCATTGTTATACTGAAAATAGTTTTGTTCTAAACAAGTTTCAATTATTGTTATTAAATCTGATTTTACTATTATATTAAGATTAGATTTATCAATTAGTTCATAAATAATAGAGGACAATTCATGGGTTGGGATAGAAGTGAACAGGCTTTTGACATCGAAAGAAACGAGTGTTGCATTATGTGGAACTTCAATATTTTTCAAATTATCTAGCAACTCAAAAGTTACTCTTATTAAAAGTTTTTTGAAACATCTAAAAGCGTGCTTTATTAAAATACTAATAAAAATTAAATTACCAAAAAAAATTATTTTATATCTTTCAAACTACGCAGGAAAGAAACTTAATTCTCCTAGCAGAAAAACATGCCCAACGTGGGAATAAATTTTAAACTAATGCTTCTAAATATAGAACCAATCCATTTCCTGCTAAAATAAACCTGTTACATCCTCATCGATTATTAACTAATTCTGAAAGCTTATGCGCATTTCACTTTAGCAAATAGGACTCGTTGTTTGGCAAATCGTAAAATGTTTTCAGTAGAGCTAGTTCTGTAGAGGTACTTAAGCCTTAAAATTTAAGGGCCATGACATTTTTGAGCTAAGCTCTAGGTAACATTATGGGCCAGAAAAAGTAATCCCTGGATAAAGAATTGCAGCTGCATTTTTAGAGCAGTTTTTATTTCTGTAACTATTAACTATTTCTGATGGTTTTAGAGTAACAAATGGTAAAAAATATTTTCGCTAAAGTAATATTTTGATGTTTATAAAGAAGATAAAAAATAAATGAACAATAAAATGACAGTAATAGTTATTAATGATACAAGTTCGATACGAACATCATAATGAAACGCGTGCGACGTCAAGTTTCATTATGATGTTCGTATCGAACGTGTATCATTCAAAATTTAATCTACGACGCAACACGAGGGACGATCCAAAGAGATTTGATTTAATTTAAAATATCAGATATATCCTCATAAAAATTAAAATTCAAAATTATCAGGTGCCCATATTAGTCGACGCCGTGGTAACCCATGATACAAAGAATACAAGGTATGATATTGCGCAGGTTGGTCACTACGTCACAGGTGATAAACGGCACCATTGGTCAGCAAGTTCCGCGCGCCAATTTCAAATTGTCAAAAAATTGTCAAACAGATGACACAATAAATGTGAAAATAATTTTTCAAATGTCAAGCTCGAAGATTGACATAACTTTTGGGGTTATGTCCTAATTCTTCCCTATTTTAGGTCTTTTTTTATTAGTGGCAATCTTTGAATAAGAAGACTAAGGAAGGAGCATATTAAAAATCTTAGGTACACCGCGATGGGCCTCAAATATGGCCGACTTAAATTCCGGTTTATCAGTGTCGTTCTAATTTTATTTAAAAAATGTAAAACTATGATGTAGGGTAGACGTGGGGTAGACTCAATAATTTGTTGTTTTATTTTACGTTGTGAATAAATGTTGGTAGTTATTAAAATTGTTATAAAAATATATTATTCTAATAAAAATAGATAAGTTATAATAAGTATTTATTAACACAAACATCCGATACGCTACTGAAGCAGGTAAGTCAAATTAACGTATCTAAATTCTTTGACATCTAATCTTTGACAAGTAATAAATAAAAGCTAAAATGCAAGAAAAATATATAATTTAGTTAATTTAAGTGAATTTCATAAATGATCGGTTTACTACACGTATGTATATTATATTATAGTCACTTACTAGCGAAAAGTTGTTCCATTATTTCACTCAATTTTTGCCGAGATCTACCGCACGCTACACAATCAACTATTTTAGAGTCTTTTTCGATAAATCGCGATAGTGTCAGTGTTAATTTAAGTTCTGCCACAATTTCCATCTAGATTTACTACCTTTATACAACTATCAGTAGTAGAATAAATAATAAATAACATAAAATAAGCTCCGTAAAGACTGACAAATCCACAAAATTTCAAATCAAATTCAAATGTGTCAAATGAACCGTCAAACAGAACTGTCAAGGATCCCCACCCTAGAGAGCTTTTATGGTGGCTTTTCCGCCCACCATGCATGAATACATGGATAGCATTATGCTCCTTCCTTAGTCTTCTTATTCAAAGGTGGCAATTGAACAATATGGATATTTTTTGTATGGTGTATGACGTCACAGGTGGTATGCGCAAACTTAACGAAATTGAAGCCGCTATCGATCATACCTTGTTTTCTTTGTACCATGGTGGTAACCGTGCTTGTTGATTGTTTCCATTTTAACGTTGACAACTCAATTATTGATGTTCAATTTTGTGTTAAACGTTCAGTTTTAGCAAAAAGCAAAAAATAATATTAATATGGGTGATTCTGATTCTGAAAGAGTCCCTTCGGATACGAGGGCATTGCGCAAAACGTTGTCGATTCCGTACTTCCCGAAAAATCAAGACAAACGCACTAGCAAGCCTATGTAAAACTTGAAGATTGGTGTAAAGGGAAAGGCATCAAGAATAGTAGTAACGAAAAGGTTCTCCTGGCATATTTTGAACATCTTTCAAAACATAGGAAGGCTTCATCACTTTGGGTATATTATTCCATGCTACGTTCAGTTATATCAGTGAAGAAAAATACAGATATTAGTGAGTACGTCCGTTTAATTGCATTTCTAGAAAGAAAATCGGAAGGATTTCGGTCAAAAAAATCGAGAATTTTAAGAAAAGAAGACATAACTCGTTTTTTGTTCGAAGCCGATGATAAAACTTATTTCCTGACAAAAGTTTCATTGATAGTGGGACTTGCGGGAGCCTGCCGGCGCCGGCGTATCGAGTTGACAAATCTGCAGCGGCAAAATGTTAAAGATGAAGGACAATGCATTCATGTCATTATTCCATTTACGAAAACAAAGATATCACGACATTTTTTTACAACGAAAGGGAATGTTGAAGGAAATAGCTATGCGGCCAAGTAACACAGAGCATACTCGATTTTTTGTGGGGTACAGAAATGGAAAATGTATTAAGCAACCCGTTGGCATTAATACTTTAGGGAAAATGCCGTATAAAATAGCATTGTTTCTAAGTCTTCCAAATCCACAACAATACACTGGACATTGTTTCTGTAGATCGTCTGCGTCGTTGCTTGCAGATTCAGGAGTGGATTTATTAACTGTTAAAAGACATGGTGGTTGGCGCTCTAACACAGTGGCAGAGAGCTATATAGAAAATTCCAAAGAAAATAAGAAAAAAGTGTCATGTAATATTTTAGGTAACATTTCTGGCAATGATGGGTCTTCAACAAGTTCAAGCACTCAGGAAATAAATTTACTTTCTAAAAATTCAACTCACCTGTCATGGTCTGGAATTAATTTAACCAATTGTACTGATATTATAATTAATGTTTTATTATAATAAATAATTATAATAAATGTTTATTATAATTATATAAATTATGTGTCATAATGACATTGTCGTAGATTAGTTAGTATTTTCCTTACCGTTTTCGCTATATTTGACAGATGTTCAAAGGTAGACTTGCCAGTTTCCTTGACCAAACCATAGAAAATTCCAAGTTGGTTCTGAAGTAAAATATGAGGATGATCGAACTCTATTGCTTCGCCAGCATCCATAACTAATACTTTGTCGGAATCCATTACAGTGTGTAACCTAAAAAAGAAAAACAAAATTACAGACTCATATATTTTCAATAATAATTTTATTTTGTAACTTTGAAGAATTATCCAAAAATTAAAAGAAAAGTTATAACGACAATTTGACTCGAAATACCAAATGTGTGGTACTAAATTATTCGTAAAAAAATGTTTTTTTTTTCAAGTATGCTAATGAGCCATCCTTATTCCATTTGAAAAAATTGAGATATGATTAAAAATACGATTTGGGCATCTTTTAACCGGCCAGTATAAGACACGAAAAACATTAGACGATCAAATCTATTACAATTTTTTTAAGTGAAAATGTCAAAAGTTAACGTATGATATGTCATTGCATTCAGAGTGTCATTTTCTATCGAATAAAGTAAAAATTTACCGAAGGTGCCATTTAAAAATGAAAAATTGTGGTCATTTCCGGTGAAACAGGAAGCGACCAAAAACAATTGAATATGTCAGTCAATCCTAATTTATGTCATATACTAATATACCAAATCTCGTCTTTTTTTCTGAAAAAGTAAAAAAGTTATAGGGGTGATACATTTTTGAGACCCACCCTGTATGTTCATAGGAACTTTTCGTTTTATTTTTATTTGTAGTATCAGCATCAAAGTTTGGTATATTATTTTTAAAAAAAACTTCTTATAGATTTTTAAACAGTAAATTTCATCAAACTAAAATCCATTCATCGTTTAAAAGTTTCACAAATTTACAGATAAATACGAATTGAAATAAAATACGTCTCAACTTATTTCATTAATTTTAGTGGAGTTCTCTCATGTAAATATCCACAAAACTTTAAAGAAAAATCCATTCGAGAAGCAGAAAAGGCGGTTTCAATGTTCTAGTGGCTTTTCTGCAGCATCAATTTAGTCAAAAGGAGGAAATTTTATAAGTGAGCAATTAATCTTAGCGCTTAGATTTATAAGTTTTTAGCGACATAAGTTTTAATCCTTGCAATTCCTTTTTTTCTTTGTTTATCGTATTTTTCTATTAGAGTTCAATACATTAGTTTAAACGAAAATTTATTCATTTTAATTTAAACTGAAGAGCCAGAATTGTTTTACAAAAGAATAAAATTTTCAGTCGTTCAAAAACAAAAAAGTTTTCTTATTGATTTTTGTATAGAATAAAGAGACTAAAAAATGAAACTAGACTATTTTTATGTTTATGTTTTTTAATAATTGCATGGTAGATGGAAAGAGGGCCCCAGGGTGGGGATCTTTGACAGTTCTATTTGACGATTCATTTGACACATTCGAATTTGATTTGAAATTTTGTGGATTTGTCAGTCTTTACTCAGCTTATTTTATGTTATATATTATTTATTCTACAACTGGTAGTTGTTTAAAGGTAGTAAATCTAAAAAAAAATTGTGACAGAACTTAAATTAACAGTGACACTATTGCGATTTATCGAAAAGACTGTAAAATAGTTGGTTGTGTAGCGTGCGGTCGATCTCGGTCAAAAATCGAGGGAAATAATGGAATAACTTTTAGCTAGTAAGTGACTATACTCGTATAATATACATACGTGTAGTAAACCGATCATTTATGAAATTCACTTAAAATTAACTAATTATAAATTGTTTCTTGGTTTTTGTTTTTATTTACTCTTATAAGGCTCTTATCAAAGATTAGATGTCAAAGAGTATAGATAGGTCAATTTGATTTACCTGCCTCAGTAGCGTATCGTATGTTTGTATTAATAACAGAGTTATCAATTTTTATTAGAACTATATATTTTTATGACAATTTTAATAACTACCGACATTTATTGATAACGTAAAATAAAACAACAAATTATTAAATCTACTATAAATCATATTTTTACACGTTTTGAATAAAATTAGAACGGCGTGATAAACCTTACTTTATGGTCTTTAGTTATTCATAACATTATAATACAAAACCTTACAGGTATTAGTTATTGAATTCACAGGCAATGACAAAATCTAATTTCAAGCCAAAAAACAAACTTTGTCTCGAAAAAAAGCAGCTGAAACTCAGTTAGATACATTCAAGTTAAAGTTGCGAAGGAAAAAAAACTATAAACAGAGACAAATTTGGAATCGAAGAAGTATTACCGACCGAGATAATGGGCGATAAGTGATCCAGAAAGATTTTATCCTACTTATTCAGAGGTTATTCATCCCTTAAATCCCTTTAATTGGTCCTTAAAATCTTATCGTTAAGCCAGAAAAAAGAAATAAATATTTATTTTGTTATAGCAACTAAGAGAAAAACTGAAAACAGTATAACAATATAAAAAGGAACAGATATTTTAGAATAAATGTTGATAATATTAAAACAGCAAGATTATTCTCAATTTGTTCAAAAATGTTCAGTAGGTATTTGAAAAATAATCGAACATTGCTTATATTTAAAACAGACTCACTATATGTATAGGCCGTGCCTATATTATCCCCGGTATTACAAAAGGGAATACATTTCTTCAGCCCGGTATTTTACATGTAATATGTATTCATGAAGAATTTATAGGCCTTGTAAACTGTTGAAATGAGGGTTTTGCCCGGTTTTAAGGTATGAATATCAACTATATCCCTTTAAGGGTCTTTCTCCATTCTAAGGGCAAGGCAAGTTGAGAGAAAGAAACTAAGAAACATAAAAATAAATTTGCCAAGTCCTCCGAGTTCTAAGAGCTTTAAGGTATTTCCGGAATTTGGGTAAATTACGTAGTTGGAATGTTGTTAAATACGTAAAAGATTTTGTGATTTTATTAATACACTCTGTCATTTCAAATTGCTCCATGATACCGGTTTTTTTTTCATTAGACTTTGAATAAAAAGATTAATGGGATCAAAAATGGCCGACTTAAATTCCGGTTTATCAGAGCCGTTCTAATTTTATTGAAAATGTGTAAAAATATGATGTAGGGTAGACTCAATAATTTGTTGTTTTATTTTACATTGCCAATAAATGTTGGTAGTTATTAAAATTGTTATAAAAATATATAATTCTAATAAAAATAGATAAGTTATAATAATTATTTATTAACACAAACATCCGATACGCTACTGAAGCAGGTAAGCCAAATTGGAGTATAGTAGTAGAAAATAAAAGCAAAAATGCAAGAAAAAATATATAATTAGTTAATTTTAAGTGAATTTCATAAATGATCCGTTTACAACACGTATGTATATTATACCCTGCTGGCAAGCGAAACCTTGGGTCGTTTAACCTTGGGTTTTTAACGTTTACATGTATAGGAGTAAATCGCTATGGAAATCTAGTAAGTCGGAGAGAGCAAAAATACGAAGTATTTGTTACATAACCACTTATTTAAAGTGTTAATTTTAAGTGATAAATAATGATGACGTACGTTGAATTATCGCTGAAAAGACGGTACCATACCTGTGAGCTATCGTCAACACAGTACAATCCGCAAACTTCCTCCTTATGGTACTCTGTATCAAGGAATCAGTTTTCGGATCCACATTGGCAGTGGCCTCATCCAGAACCAATATTTTGTTGTTCCTGACTATAGCCCTGGCCAGACAGATCAGTTGCCTCTGGCCCAAACTGAAATTGACTCCTCCCTCCGACATTTTGCTGTCTAGACCTCCCCTGAGCTCCGACACTGCCTCTTTGAGTTCCACTTCTTCCAGAGCGTTCCAGAGGTGTTTGTCGTCGTACTCGTTGAAAGGATCCAAGTTTGTTCTTAATGTACCTTAAAAAATATAGTATTAAAAGCAATGATTTTAATATCAGTCAAAAAAGTTAAAAATTCAATTTTACAATACCAAAATACTCTATTGACAAGTTAAAGTAAAGTAAAGTAAAGATTTCAGTTAACGTCTCCTTTTTGCTGCCAGGGCTAATCTGGACGGGGCCTACTTTGTTTACGCGGAATCCGAACCGCGGTCCTCGGTCATACCATGGTCAATGGCCTACTGACTTGGCAAGTGTCTAAATCGACTCTTACTCACGAGATATCCGATCTCATCCGGCCTCGAACCGGCGTGAATGAGCAGTGTGCGTGTCAATAGATTTTACACTTTTGCCTTTTTTGGACAACAGCACGATACAGAGTTTCGAACCGGTCACCCGTCCATCCACTAGTATCGCCTTATGTCGCTTAACTTCGTTGCCCTTGACAAGTTAAGACCTTGTAATTTTTGGATATTTTACCATTTTAATTTAAGTTACTTTTATTTAATTTTAAAACAATTATTTTTGTAATATTATGGATATGTATGTTAGATAGTTTGATCAATTTATATTTTCAAATTAAAAATTTAATTTATAATAATTATTTAAGTTTACTCATTTAGGTAAAGACTAAAAACTTTTTTAATTTTCTAATGCATCAACATAATTTTTCTGGGTATGATAGACATTCGATCTAATTTATAAATATTCATTAAAGTTTTAAAAATTTTATTTATTTATATTTTATCTTGTTTAGCGATCTTTCTATACAGGGTGCGTCTCTAAAGTGGCTCACCCCTATAACTTTTTTTATTTTTTTAGATAAAAAAACGAGATTTGGTATCGTAGTAGATGACATAAATTAGAATTGATTGAGGTATTCAGGTTTTTGGTCATTTCCTGTTTCACCGAAAATGACTACAATTTTTTATTTTTAAATAGAGTGCTCTTGGTATATTTCTACTTTATTCGATAGAAAATGGCACTCATATATTATCATATTGCTAAAAACGATAATATTACTAGCCTGTACATTTTGTACATTTGTTGCTTTAAAAACAATCTGAAATGTCAATATTCCATGGGTATATTGATAAATGAGGTCTAAATTATAAGAAAATGCATTTTCTACGAAAACTTGAAGGGATAGGTAAAAAGTGGTATAATACAATTTGATAGACAATTAAATTGTGCATCTGATTCTCCTAAAATATACAGAGCGGTCCATTTAAATTAAACAAGTTATTGCCGTTTAAAGCTAGAAATAATTTAAAATAAATTTTTAGACACTCTGTATGAGGTAGTATGATTTTTATTATTGCAACACAAAAACTGATCAATAAATAGACTTCAGTAAATATTTAGTATTAAAAACTTTGGTACCCTTGGAGAAATGAAGCTTTAAAATTTTTACTGCAATTTCACAAAATTGAAAATATTTCAAAAACGGTAAGGTTTAAGTGTAATAAACCTTAATCAAATTTACCTTTATTTTAATCGTAGAAACTAAAAATGTAATAATAAACAGGGTATTCCATTTAAAAAAATAAAACTTTGATATTTTTTATTTATTTGGGACACTCTGTATTTTGTAAAAATATTTTTAAATTATAGCTCTAATAGTCCTTCAACGAACCCAAAACTTACAATTTGTAAAAATCTAATCGTTTAGCTACAATACTCCGTGTCGTATGTGGTGAACAACCCCGTATACTAACATACCAAATCTCATTTTTTTATCTGAAAAATAAAAAAGATATAGGGGTGAGCCACTTTTGAGAAGCACCCGGTATAAATATATAATCGGATATACCTAATAAATATGGATTTTACAAGATACTGCATTATAATTTTTTTGTAAGACTTGTATAGAGAAAACCAAAAAAAAAACTTAATATTTTATATATATAAAATAGATTGGGTAGATTATAAGGATGTTTTTCATAATTTACACCCTTGGTAATCAATCATCTTATATGTTATTGATTAATTTAAACAGCTAGATTAGAGCAGATATTGTGCTGGCTCAGTATTAAACTGACGTGGAATAATTAATTTTTGTTTTAATATAAGATTTTTTTGTAAATAAAAAGAGTTTATTAACTATTATAAAAAAACTTCATTCCTTTCTCTTAAAAGTAGATAAAAAATAAAAATCGTTGACCTAGTTTTATGTTATCCTAAAAAATAGATACCTATCTAAAACTTTTTAATCTCCTTTTCAGGAAAGGAACAAGAGATAAAACTTGAATATTTTCTAGTGCTCGAGTTCTTCCGAAGATATATTATTCTTCTCCAAACTTTTTTAATTGCCTCACTAATAAGTCTTTCCAGTTACTTTTATGTTTTTTTTTCTTTTTGTTTTTGCTTGTAACTTTAAAAGCTTTAGAAAAAGTAGACATAAAACTTAGAAAAAGCGGAATATTCAAATGAGAATTTGTGCTTGAAATGATAATTTCAAACTTAATTTTATCTTTTACTGACCTGAGAATATGACTGGTTCTTGTGGTATAATAGATATCTTCGACCGCATATTCTTCAACGGAATATCCTTGGTACAAAACCCGTCAATCAGGATCTTGCCTTCCACGTGAGCCAATCGGAATAGAGCAGAAATAATGGAGGATTTTCCAGCACCGGTTCTGCCCACAATACCAACTTTTTCCCTTGGTTTGATTTTGAAGGTTAAGTTGTTCAGAACGTAGGGCTCATTAGTAGCATATCTGTAATAGAAAAAAAAAATAAAATTTTAGTTTTAGATATTCACTTTTCTAAATCAATCTAAAAAAGCGATCAACTAAGTAACTATCAATTTGAAATTTCGGGAAAATTGGTTCTTGGAATGTTTACCAAGACGTCACCAAAAAAAGTTCTAAAAATTTCAAGGATTGCAGAGATTTTTTTGGAAAAAAACGTTATTTTTTTGAAAATAAATTTAATTTTTTCCTGTCGTTACTTTTTAGAAAATCAAAAAACTAACTGCACATTTTCATGGCTACTTTATTAGGGCTATCTGATAGTATTTTTAGATTTTCAAATTAGCTGATAATTTGTGAGATACAGAGGCCAACTTATTTTTTTTAAATACGGACCTGCCTTTTTTTTTTGAAGTTTTGAAAGAACTCGGTCTCCTGAGTACAATGATATATACACTTGATACTTTTTTTTCTTTTGCGTGCCTTAACAAGAACAAAACTATATAATTATTATTTAAAATAATTTCAAGTCCCACTCTGTTTTTTGTTTTAAATTATTTAATATGATTATATTCATCGCAATAATATTGATCAGCGCTAATTAACAGAGAATAAGGAAAATCGAGCCAATTGAAAGATTCAAATAAATAATATCCAGGTCAGCAATTTAAGGATATTATTTTTAACTTTTTTTATTATGAATTTTGAAATTTGAATATTAATCGTAGTAATTATAAATAAATCAACTTCTACAAACTAGTTTTTAATGCTCTACATGCTCGAAAGGGTTACCACCAGGGCTCGGAAGTAGTTAATTAAGACGTAATTTACCTGATTAACTACGTGTAGTTTTTCTTCAAAAACTACGTCTTTTCTGTTCATTAACTACATGAAAACTACGTCAATAAACTATGTATTGATATTATGAATTGTTTTTCTTTGTATGAGGTGCAATAGAGATAATATGATGTAAATATTATATTTAAAGCCATATTTCTTTTGTTTTCTTAAATACATTATGTGTTTTTAAAGCTTCAACTTATTATAACCTCACCTCAAACCTTTGATATTTGAAAGTTACATACATAGGTTACATAAACTACACCCTCTACATAAACTACATTAACTACATGTAATGTAGTTTATGTAGTTTTTAAAGTAACATGTAGTTTTCCGAACCCTGGTTACGACCCTCCCTAATGCACAAATTTATTTTGTTGTTCAATCTTATTTATAACTCTTTGTACATATTTCCTTCTTTTACTTCCAAATGCATTTTGTATACTTTATTGTAAATGTTGAAATGTATTGATTTGACTTTTACAAATGACATTATTTGTAGCACCCTGTATATGATGAGTTATAACCTAAATCTAAGGTTATAATATAAATCAAGAAGATGGGAAACAATAGATTTACCTTAAGTATACCGATTTGAATTCTAAAAGTCCGTGTTCCGGCCATGTTTTTGGTGGCTCTTGTTCATCTCCCTTCACCTCTTGTTCAATGTAAGTGTATTCTACTACTCTCTCCACTGAAGTCATGTGATTCTCCAGTTCACTCCACTGCCTCATACCCCACTGGAACATCCCTGTCAAACTCATTGCTTGCGTTATGGCTAGACCAACGTTACCGCCATAGGTTTCTGAAAATAGAACAAACTATTTCTTATTCACCGACTGGGAGAATAAGTACAAAAAAAAACAACTTTATGAAAAACTAGCGTGTACCCGCGACTTTGTTGACGTCGAATTAATCATTTGTAATGGTGATGATAAAGCAAAGCAAGAATTTCCATTAACATACAAACTAGATAAAATTTTCTCACATTTTTGTCAGCATGAGAAAAAACAATATGGCGATATTATTATATAACTTGGTGATATTTGAGGGGAAGTTTCATCTCGTTAGAATTTGACTTTCGAAAAATCCGTTTGCCAAAAATAAGCTTTTTACGTCAAGCAGTTTAAGCAGAATCGTGGTTAATCAATTACCCAACTTTTTGGAACACTCTGTATGATTTTTTAAAAAATTTCAAAATATGTAAAGAAACAAAATAAATTATGCGCGTCCAAGCGTTTTCCCGAAACTAACCGTTTTTTAAATTACAAATATTGTAATATTTGAGGGGCGTTTTTACCCTCTTGGAATTTGAGATTCGAGAAACCCCTCCGTATCGAACCTCTACACCCCACAGTCAATCCGTTTACCAAAAATCAGCTTTTTACGTCAAGCGCTTTAAGCAGGATCGTGATTAATCAATGTGATTTTTCGAAACACCCTGTATATTTTTTTAAACAATCTTAAAATATGTAAAAAACAAAATAAAATATAGGTGTTTAAGCGTTTTTTCGGAAACTTGACCGTTTTTTAAATAAAAAATATTGTAATATTTGAGGGATGGTTTCACCCCCTTGGAACTGGAATTTCTCTAAAAATCCCTTCTTAACGAACCTCTACACCCTAGAATCAACCTGTATGCCAAAATTGAGCTTCTTACGTTGAGTGGTTTGAGCAGGATCGTGATTAATTAGTGAGTCAGTCACTTAAGGATTTTATATATTAGTATAGATAAACTTACCGTTTCCCATAAAAAAGAAGCTCAGGGTGACCAAAGCAGCGTAAATAATACAGTGGAAGTCCAGCCAGAATCCGAAGGTTTGGTTGCAGCACAGGAACATGTAGAACGCCGAACTGTGCACATCCTGGTAGGTGTCGAACTCATCCCTAAGGATATCCTGCGCTCCGAAAGCCCTTATCGTGGTCAGTCCTTGCAGGGAGGCGTTTATGTGAGAAAATACCGGACTTCTAGCTGAAGAAAAAGAAACAATAAATGCAGTAAAATTAATAAAATATACTAGCAACAATTAAAAGTTAAAAGTTTGTTAACTTTTTTTACTAATTGAAAAGGAAATTAGAGGAACAAACTTCTACATATTAATTGAAACCTACAAATGGCTGATACAACTTCTAGACTTTTTCTTTTTGGTTTTTCAATAAAAAAGGCAAATATTTGAACGAGTGTAACCGTTGAAGAAAATTTTGGCAAAAAAAATAGAATTTGAAATTTGCAATGTTACAAACTAGTTTTTAAGCACAGATAATCAATAGTCACTTACTTGTTGCTTCGATCCTCTTGATATTTCTGCTGGTTCTCAAGAAAACAGTACGATAAAAATAAAACAGAGATGCAATGACGCAGGTTGGTATAATTATCCATGGATCCACAGAAGCTATGACAAAGTTGACCGCTAAAACGTTGAGGGCTATCTGAAAAAGTGTATGTTAAGAATAAGGAATTTTATAGGACCCTACAACACGTTTATTTTGAAAAATAGTTTGATTATAATTTCGTTAATTTTTTTTCGTTTTGATTTAAAGTTCGTTTTTTAAAAATACTGTTACGTACCTGTATAGTATCTATAAGAACATAAGGTAGCTTCTCATCAATAGCACCCATATCTTTGGAGAATCTGTTCAAAATTCTTCCGGAACAATTTGTATTGAAAAACCTCATTGTGGCATTGATTACTCTTAAAAAATATAAAAATATATTGGTAGGTACTTCATAACTTCATCCACAGATCATTAACTAATTAAAAAATGACAGAAAAAAACTGAAAAAACATTTAACAATATCAAATTTATTTTATAGTTTTTGAGATAAAAAATAAAACAAGTGTAAAATTGACAAAAACATGATCTTGAGTAAGCATTAGTAAAATCAGGAAATGAGTATTTTTGAAGTTGAAATTTGGGTTACAAGTTAAGGAAGATCGATATATTCAATCTGTCTAAAGCAACCAATTGGATATTCACAAAGAGATTAAGAACTCCATTTATTTTGGTTTGTTATAAAAGTGTTTTTTTATGGTGTAACGGCTAGAACGGCTCTAGCATGGCAAGCTGTACCTTGCTACTCCCAAGGCGTCAAACTCTATATACGGGAACTATTATTATTATATAAAAGTGTTTAAATCATTTTTATTTTAAATTAATCAGGGTGTTCCTTAATGGCATGCTAATATTTAAGGGGGTGATTCTTGGACCTATTCTAAGAGAAAATCTTCATATGAATGCATGTCCTAAACATCTTAACTTCTGAAACACGGTGGTAAAATTTTCTAAAAAAAATTTTTTTTTTCATAATAACTCTGATTTTATTATAGATATCTTTGTAAAACTTGATACACGTTTTCTATGCATCAAAATACTTTTTTTGGTGTACAAAGAATTTTATTTATTTCAGCCAGTGTCGTCCATACGGGTTTTACATTGAATATTGTTGAAGAAAAAGTGGTACACCACTGACTTCTTTTAGAATAAAAATTATTTTCAAAATCTCCATTCGTTTCTAAACATTTTTTATCTCCTGATTTCTTTTGTCCGACGCATAGTTTTTGCTTAAAAAAATTAAAGTCAGTTTACTTGAGGGTCAAATCGCTGAAAACCTGGGGAAGAAATGAAGAAATAAAACAATTTTTTTGTATATCAAAATAAGCATTTTGATGCATGGAAGACGTGTACCAAATATAATATCAGAGATATTTTGAAAAAAAATAAAGAATTTTACCACCCTGTATCTGAAAAGTTTAGATGTTTAGGACATATATTCTTATGATTTTTTTTTCTTAGAATAGGTCCAAGAACCACCCTCTTAAATATTAGCATGTCATTAAGGAACACCCTGTATGTATATTAATTAAAAAATAGAAACACAAAAAATAATAGTGCTTTTCAGCTATAGATCATGCTCCTACACCTAAAGCTTCTGGATTCTCCAGGAAAGTAGTTTAAAAGATAATAATTCTATTATAACTGTTCCACTTAAAGAAAATTGTTACCGTGACAAATATTCAAACTTTATTCCAACTTTATAAGCATATTATCAGTTAGATTTTACTTGCTAAATTTCTGAAATTGTCACGGTAACGAAATTCTTAAAATCAAACTATAATAATAGAATTATTAATATTTAAATAGTTCTGCGCTAGTCAGTTGTACCCATATAAAAAGCTAATAATTAGCTTATAAAACAATAAACTTTATATTTCTAACAGCAGTTTTAAAGCCAAAATGACATTAATGGCTGACTTTGTTAACTTTTCCTACTAATTGAAAATTAATACCACTAAGTGCGAGAAGGCTGGTTTTTCTGGTTTTGTTGTGACAGAAATCAAGCGAATATTGGAAGTTCGAATGATATTCTCATTTAATTTCTAAAATTTGTAATAATATTTTGTATCTACATCCAAAAGCAATGGAGGTAGGCAGTAAAGATAAATAAATTTCATTAACTAAATAGAATTAGTTTTAGGACCATTTTTTTTAAACTATCATGTAGCGATTGTTTCTTAAAGTCAGGAACATTTAAAGAAAACATGAAAAACAAGACAACAAGTAATCGTGAATGTTTTGTAAGCTATAAAAATATAAGTATTGATTAAATTTGTTTATTTATTATTGACCTTTTTTTATATTGGACCTACAAATCTTCACTTGCGCTGTCTAACGAGTTTAACAGTTTATTAATAAAGTACTTTTCAATATTAAACTCCATTAAAAAGAAGAAGCAAACGTAAAAGCAGAGAATAGGTACATTAAAAATGCATAAAAGATCAATTTTATAATAGAGTTATTGACGTTTCCAATATTTTACCAAACCGTTCCGTATCAAACCGATGTTTTTCAGGAACCGTTCTTTACCGTAGTTTACCGGTCTGGTTCGCCTGGTTTTGCAACGGAATACATTTTGACGTTCAAAATTCTTACAGAAATTTCTTGTTGACTTACCTGTTAAACATGTTGTTATGCATCTTGACAGAAGCTGACATGCAGTACTGATAGAACGTTACAGATCTGGTAATTGTCAAGACAATAACTGACACGATAATGGTCGAATAGATATAAAAACACATATCTGTGGTGAAAAATAAGTCGATTTTGCTTCTGTCATCCTTAATTCCTGTGGATATGATTTTGTTGTAGTTTTCTTCCAGGTAAATTTCATCAGAGTAAGATTTAGACAGAGGATCGTTTTTGGAATTCCTTTCTGAACGAGTCTGTTCCAGATTTACCCTAAAATAATAGAAAAATACGTTTTAAAAAAGTTATAAGAGATCAAATTTAGTGTAACCAGTAAAGAAATTCATAATAATCATAATCAAAATATGAATACTACACGGGATATAAAATTTTATTTTTCCTAATTAATTAATGATCCTAGTTAATCAAAAATAATTATATTGTTACCAGAACTTAATGAAGTAATCTGCTGAGCTGGACGCTGCCTGGGTGATGACGAACAAAGCCAAAACAAAGATGGCGCAACACCATCCCCCGGTTGCTTTGAAGTAGGCTTTGTATACCCTGCTAGCTATAGAACCCGTCTCTCTAGTTTCTTTGATTTCTGACGGTTCATCCTCAGACTGATCGCATAAGTATCCAGACTTGTTGCCTAAAAAAAATTAATTAATTTTACTTATTTTATCTCACTTAAAAAACATTAAGGTAAAGTAAAATAAAATTGGGGGAAATGGGGAAATACCAGAACACCTCATCACTGAGTGCGTCCAGATGACAACCATTCGTGCCATAAATTTTGGCACGACTGATATCGGAGATGGAGAACTAACCTCTGTAAAACCGTCTCAGATACTGACTTTTTCCAAAGCCCTGAGACTCAAGAAAGGGGTACACTATAGATCTCTAAGAGCACGGTGATTAACTTTCCTTCTCCCATGTAATTCACAGTACTGTTATATATTAAAATTAGCAAAAATTAAATAAAATTAACTTACTCTGTGTATCTGTATAATCCTCACTTTCCTCCAGGACATGATCTTTAAACAGTTTTGAAAATTCTCCATCCGAATTACGAATTTCCTGATAAGTTCCACTATTAGTAATTTTCCCGCTGTTCATAACATAAATCTTGCTCACAGTCTTCAAATACTGAAGCTGATGGGTTACCAACACAGTACATTTGTTTCTCAAAAACCCTGTTAACAAATTCTTTATTTGTATTATCAAACTAGCTAAATTACTCCCGGCGGTATAGACAATTGACAAAAGAAAGACCGTCGCTAGACGGTTCCACATATTTATAAACGTAAATATCGCCGAGCAACGAGGTAAATTTTCAAGCAGGGCGTTTGTCGCTAAATACCATATACCATATTATGTGTTGCTGTTTTTTCCAATATAAGTTCCGCGATTATATAAAAATACCGGCGGTATACTTTAAAAGAAGACAGAAATACCGCCTTTTTTACCATATTTTATTTGTTATCGTTTTCCCCAACGTAAGTTCCGCGATTGCATAAAGAATACCGGCGGTATACTTTAAAAGAAAGCAGAAATACCGCCCTTATTTTACCACATTTTATGTGTTATTGATTTTCGCAACGTAAGTTCCGCAATTACATACAGAATACCGGCGGTATACTTTAAAAGAAAACATAAATACCGCCTCTATTTTACAAAACTTTATGTGTTATTACGAGTGTTATTGTTTTTTTCAACGTAAGTTTGGCGATTACATAAAGAATACCGGCGGTATACTTTAAAAGAAAACAAAAATACCGCCTCTATTTTACGAAACTTTATGTGTTATTACGAGTGTTATTGTTTTTTCCAACGTAAGTTCCGCGATTACATAAAGAATACCGCCGGTATACTTTAAAAGAAAACAGATATACCGCCCTTATTTTTTCCGCGATTACATAAAGAATACCGCCGGTATACTTTAAAAGAAAACAGATATACCGCCCTTATTTTACGAAACTTTATGTGTTATTTTTTTCAACGTAAGTTCCGCGATTACATAAAGAATACCGGCGGTATGCTTTAAAAGAAAGTAGAAATACCGCCCTTATTTTACCAAATTTTATGTGTTATTATTTTTCCCAACGTAAGTTCCGTGATTACATATAGAATACCGGCGGTATACTTTAAAGGAAAACAGAAATACCGCCCTTATTTTACCAAATTTTGTGTTGCTGTTTTTCCCAATGTTAGTTCCGCGATTACATAAAAATACCGGCGGTATATTTTAAAAGAAAACAAAAATACCGCCCTTATTTTACCCAATTTTATGTGTTATAGTTTTTCCCAACGTAAGTTCCGCGATTACATAAAGAATACCGGCGGTATACTTTAAAAGAAAACAGAAATACCGCCTCTATTTTACGAAACTTTATGTCTTATTACGAGTGTTATTGTTTTTTTCAACGGAAGTTTGGCGATTACATAAAGAATACCGGCGGTATACTTTAAAAGAAAACAAAAATACCGCCTCTATTTTACGAAACTTAATGTGTTATTACGAGTGTTATTGTTTTTTCCAACGTAAGTTCCGCGATTACATAAAGAATACCGGCGGTATGCTTTAAAAGAAAACAGATATACCGCCCTTATTTTACGAAACTTTATGTGTTATTTTTTTTCAACGTAAGATCCGCGATTACATAAAGAATACCGGCGGTATGCTTTAAAAGAGAATAGAAATACCGGCCTTATTCTAGCAAATTTTACGTGTTATTGTTTTTTTCCAACATTAAGTAATAAAACTGCATTCTCTTGCATACAAAAATAAACAATTTATCAGAGAACCTGTCAGATGCAAAATAAGAAAGAAACGAACACTAAACTTTGTTTATCACCTAATAGAAATGACTAACTTCGGTCTTCATTTTATCAGTTGTTTATACCACCGGTGGTTGTTTAGCCGGTGTGTTTTCTTATTATTCTTTACTCACCAACAATGCACTCCTCGAATAACTTCTTCCCAACGTGAGTATCCACCGCTGAAAGAGGATCATCCAACAAATATATATCAGCTTGTTTGTAAACAGCTCTAGCCAAATTGATTCTAGCTTTCTGTCCGCCACTCAATGTCACTCCTCTGTCACCAATCATACTTCTATCACCGTATGACAATAATTCAAAGTCCTTCTCTAGTTGACACACTCTTATAACGTTTTCGTATCGTTTTCTATCCCACTGTTCACCAAAAAGAATATTTTGCTTCACCGTTCCAGCAAATAACCATGGTTCCTGAGACGCGTAAGAGATTTGGCCTACCACATCTTTAACTCCTTTGGTCAAGGACAGTTCTTTCATGATAACATGGAGCAAAGAAGTTTTTCCTGAACCTACCGCACCGACAACGGCAACAAGTTGTTTTGGACCGATGTTGAAGTTAATATCGTTCAAAGTATTCTCGTTTAACATACAGTTCCATTTTGCTGAGACATCATGAAGGAAAATTCCTACAGATTTCTTGCTAGCTGCATTGATCAAAGGTGTTGATGCGTGAATGATCTTTTTATGTACTTGTTTGATCTGGGGAGTTTTAACTTCGTGAAAAAGTAAATAGGTTTCAATTCTTTTCACGGAAACTAGAGTTTCAGCCAGATCTGAGACTGCCTGAGGGAAATTATTGGTCAAGGCTGCCTTGATGATGTTGTAGAACGATTGGATGACGTAGACAAATTCGGCGTTGGGTCTGTTCCCTGTCAGTGTGTAGGTTAAAATACAAAGAAAAATGGAAGTTCTGGTGATGAATTTGCTGAAGGATACGTGCAGTGCTCTGATGTAGGAAGCCAGTCTGACTTGTTTGATTTCTAATCTAAACGAAAATTAGAATTCGTTCAAAATAAGCTTATTTTATTATTTAAAAATATAAACAATGGGAGTTTAAATATAAACAAAACATAATTTACTTACTTCCTGATAGTTTCAACAATCTTAGAAAAATATCTCTCCCAATTATACATTTTGATGACTTGAATTCCACAAATGATCTCGCTCATATTTCTAACTCTCTCATCAGTTTTTATAGCTGTCTTCAATCGGAATTTAGAAGCCAGTTTACCCAATACCACTGAAAACTTAAAAGTTTAACTCCAATTTCTGTAATTTTACCACAACTTACTTTGTAAAGGCATGAAGATTGCCAGTAGAAAAAATCCAGATAGTGAAGTAAGCCCTACGTTAAAATATAGCAGGTACATGATTAAAATTGTTTCTAATGGTGCTATCCACAAATAGTGGAGGTATCGCATGCAATGGTCAAATCTGGCAACATCGTTGGATAGTAGATTGATCATTTGACCGATAGTTGTTTCTGTTAGGGCTGTTTTACTTAATTTAAGAGTTTTTCTGGAAAAAAATAAAAATCTTATTAGAAAAAATAAGTTCAAACCAAACAGGTGCAAGTTGAGTTAATTTAGTTACCTGTATATTAATGAGCAACAGGCTATCCTCATCTTCATGCCTAGATGATGACATGCCAGCATGTAACTGTGGCTCACTACCACTGATAGGAAAGAGGAAACTATGAGAACTCCAGCGTACATATACGCTTGTTGGATTGAAACTGTTGTTTGATTGGGCGAGTAATAGTTCATCAGTTTTCCTAGAGCTAAGGGTTGTACCATTCTAAACAAAATATATTTGTATTAATTTCTTAGTTTTGATCATGATCAGTTTTAATCTTCTGCTGATGATGCTAACATTTATAGTATAGTGAGAATCAACCTTAAATTTTCCAACCCCTGCAATCTTCACTTATGTTATGTTATGCAATAAGTCGGATTCTAAACCCTATTAAAATCCTGTTTATAAAAACTATCAATATTGGTTCTCTGACTGCTTGCAGGTGTACACAGAAAAAAAAGTGTGTACACAGAAAGAAAAACTTTGTTCTGTGTACACAGAAAAAAAAACTAACAAAGTCGACTGACTGTCTAATAAATAGACTGTGTCCAGTACTTACCCTAAAACAAACTCCTGCACGAACAAGACTCCCCCGTAGGTGAGTATCTCCATCCTGAACATCCGCCATATCGCCCTTAAGAGTAAGGGCTCGGCGTGGTGCAGCCTCTCCAGCTTCCACTCCTCCTCCAACTTGTCGCCCAGCCGGTGCGACTCGTGCTCTTTGAGCGGTCGGTATAAATCATCTTCGCCGAAATCTTTGACCCAGCCCTTGTAGAAGATGGGAAGACCCCAACTGAAACGACATTCACAAAAATTAACTATAAGTTACTATTCGATAACTCGTCAACTGGGAAGTATTCAAACCAAGTTTGTACAGGCGGACTTTGCGAAAAAACTGAACGTATGTGGGGGCCTTTAAATTTGACGATTTATTTTTTAGTTTTAAAAGAAAGCAACAAATTTTGAAAACTTACAGTTTCTTCTATCTCTTAAACATATTTTGTTTTTGTCAAATATGTCTCAAATACACATAATTCATTTGAGACGTTTTTGATTTTTTTAAAGAACAAATACATCTCTATAAATCTTCAATTTTGGCATGCGATTCATTCAAAACGAAAATTCTTATTTGCATTTTCCCTTCATCGCACTTTTCTGCATGCGTCCTAGATGAAAAACGACCGGTTTTCCTTATGAAAGGAAAACTTGTTTCGGTTTTGTCGCAATATTTTCCGATATAGTGGAGTATGCCATTGTACGTGGATAAAGAAGTCGGGCTTACATGATTTATTTTGATAGTTACAAATAGGTTCGTGCATTGTATGGTCCTGGTATACAATTTGGAAATGCATAAAAGTTATGTTGATTTATGATATAAAATAGAGGATTACAAAAAATGTTCATTTCGAGCGTCACAAAAGTACTAATTGTTGCGACGTGATTGACAATATAAAAAAGTCATTTTAACGACTGGGCATAAAAGGAAAGCACCTTTATACCTAAGCATAAAAGTACGAAAATATATTATTAAACTGACATAAGTGTCAAATTTGGCGAGCCGTAACCATGGTTTCTCGATATATAATTACATACAAGGTATTATTTTTAATTTTTTTTTTATATTATTTGGAACGTTTGAAATTGCTTAAAAAATTATTTGTGGCGTTTGAAACAAAATAGTATGTTCTATTCGGAGTAAAAATTACTTTGTCACACCTGTCAAAGTACAGCCTGGCCACAAAAAGTATAATTTTTACTCCTAATAAAACAATATTCTATTTACACCAATTACACCAATCGTTTTATAATTGTTTATATAATTCGAAATTTATGTTTAAAGTCTGCTTTATTCAAGAACAGTTTGTTGCCCTGTACACCTACATCATGTGTCCGGATCATCTTTACAAAAGAACAACTTTTTTATTATCAAAAATAAAAAAAATATTAAAATACCGTTAAATTTTAGTCCTAAAAAACGAAAACACTTTTCTATGATAATATTTCGTCTTCATTCTTTGATAGACCGTTGATATTTGTTGTTTAGTTGTCGAAAAAGGTAATACTTTAACAACAAATAATGTTAAGAAAAACAAAGACGTTAATCAAAATTAATAATAATAATCATCTATCAAAGGATGAAATATTCAACCATATTTTTTATATTTTCTTTATATTTTTCTCTAAAATGGTATGAGAATTTGGAAACGTTAAAACGGGATTAACCATTTCAAAACAAGTATATTTTTTATAAAAATGCATTTTTCTCAAAATGTTAATAATAAAAAGAATTTTCTTTTGTATTGACGATCTGGAGACTGTATACCAAACAAAAACAAAAGTTTTAGTATTGTTTTGGTTTGTTAAAAACTTACTCATAAATAACTTAATTAATATATATATATATATATATATATATATATATATATATATATATATATATATATATATATATATATATATATATATATATATATAATATTATATATATATATATATATATATATATATATATATATATAATATATATGAATATGAGTATTAAATAAAATATATAACTTTCTATTACCTTCAAATCGATATTACCTTTACAGAAATATCGTTTAAATGTTGTAAAACAACGGAAACAGTGCCTTTTTTGCATCTTCTGTTGAAAATTCGATGTTTCATGCATGATTTACTTTAAATTTCAAGACACTTTTTTGTCTAGTTTAGTGTCAAATAATTTATATCGATATCATTATTATTGTTATACAGGGTGGTGCATCATCGTTGGAAACAGGAAATGGCATGCAAATTTTGAACTGTGCAGATACTCCCCTGATAAACTCCCCTGTTAATTTTTGCAGCAAAGTTGTAAATAAGTTTTTGCATGCAATTGCATTTTTGCATGACATGATTGCATGACAAAGAGCTATATAGAAGGTAACAAAGAGCTATATGGAGCTAATTAAAATTATAGTTTAATTGATAGTTTTTTAAAAAATATATTTTTCTTTAACATTAGAATTAAAAAAAGTACTTACCAAAAAAATAAATTGGCTAAAAAATTGGACTTTTCTCGTGGATGCTCTGGTTTATTCTTGTACTCGCTGGAATCACTATCATCCATTATAACACGCACGAACAAGATATTATTAAGTTTCCTTCCTGCAACGCAATCGAAGAAAAAAATAAGATGAGATTATTATCGCAAAAAAGTTCAGTCGGTACTGTTGACTTAATACATTAACATATCAACTATAGGTACTAATAATATTCTGACACTAATATGATGACGACTCAATAAGTATATAAACTAATACAGACTGTACTAAGTAATATTATTAATATTTTTTTCAAAAACCTACAATTTTTCCCAACATTTTTTTTCAAATGTTAATGCCCAAAAATTCGCGAGATTTCATATAAAACAAAGTCAGGCACTTTTAAGGGTAAATAATTTCTTATATACAGGATGTCCAATTAAAAAAACATATATTGTTGATGACATTAAATGATACTTTAACAGCGAGGATAGGTTAAAAACTTTATTTCTTCTCGCACGTTTTTTAATTGCTTCCATTTTTGAAAAAGCCTGAATATCTGTTGGTAATTTACTTATTTCGTTTTGAGCCATTTCTGGCTGCAATTCAATCAGCAATCGACACGAAAGAGAATTAAAAAATATTGACTCAAAACTGACAACTAAAGAGACAGCTTTATTTATTTGTCAAATTAGATGAAGAGAGAAACCAACGCCAACTCAACACAATATTTTTTCTACTCATAATAAATTCCTTGAAATAATAATTTCTGAATATTTCTTAAAACGTAGAATTTTTAGAATTTAGAATGAGTGGGAGGGGGGTTAATCACTTCGACCTTACAGATCCATTGTGTCCCCCTTTCTTGAATCATAACTCATCATACAGTCCCAGGGCTTTGACAAAAGCCAGTATCTGGGACGGTTTTATAGAGGGTAGTTCTCCATCTCCAATATCAGTCGTACCAAAATTCATGGCACGAATGGTTGTCGTCTCGGCGCACTCAGTGATGAGGTGTACTGGTGTTTCACCATCTTCCCCACAGAATCTGCATTCGCCGTTTCTTCTTAGTTTCAATCTACTGAGGTGTTCATTGAGAAGACAGTGTCCTGTTAAAACCCCGTGACAATCCGAAGATTGTTCTTACTCAGACCCAGGAAGATCTGTGATTTTTCTTGATCATAAGCCCTCAGAAACTTCTTCGAGTGTCTTAGACCATTGCAAGATTTCCATTCCAGGTTGCGGATGGAATCTTCCAAGTTCTTGAGTTCCGCCTTGAGTTGGTTACCACTTGGAAAGCAGAACGGTTCTGGTCCAGTTAGTGGAGTGTTCGCTCCTTTCCTAGCTAGATTATTTGCTTTTTCATTGCCTTCTATCCCTTGGTGAGCAGGCACCCAGTGTAGGAGGACTTTGTTTTCTTTGCCTAATTTATTCAGCTTCTCTATGCATTCTTTGACCAATTTCGAATTGATTGATACTGAGTTGATCGCCTTTAACGCTGCTTGACTATCAGATAAGATGGGATTTTAAAACGTAACTCGCTATGGAAAGAAATACCTTCAACCTATTATACTGCCAAATGTGGCAAATGTACAGCCTGGCCGCAAAAAGTGTCATTTTTACTCCTAATAAAACAATATACTATTATTATTAATCTCCAATAATATAATAAAAGTTATAAACAGTAGTTAAAAGTGAGACATAAAATCTGAAATTACACTTTCTCAGAATGATTTTTTTTAACAAATAACAGTTCGCCAAAATTCATATACACAGGTATTACAATCTATTGTTTTTAAATAGGTTTTATTAACATTTGTTTAATTTATTTATTATTCTCACATAGTAAAAAGAGACGGAGATATTTTTACACGAAGTTCTCAGTTTTTAATTAAGTTTTCTTAATAATTATTATTATAAATATATAATTAATCAAATCCTTTCTAAGAAGCATAAATAATATTTTATAAAAGCAATTATTGATGCAAAATGTATTTAAATCCCAAATAACTCGAGAAAATGCCTGCAATTTTATCTAGAGCTAAACCAACATATTAACCACAAAATGATACCAATTCTACGTATATTACTTATACACACGTAAAAATATGTATGTGTTTATTATTAATTTGTACTGCTTTATTATATCCTGTTATCATCATTCACAGACACACGCGAGCAAATATCAAGATTATGTATTTTAAAATAAAAGACACATATATTTTTTTATTTATATGCCAAAGTATATCTTCTAAATCCCCATAAAAAGATTTATTCCCCTTTTAGTGCCCTTAATTTTAAAAGAAAATCTTTATTTTACGTGTTTTTTATTCAAATGTCTGAAAGCTTAGTTCTAATGGCTGTGTATATGTTATCAGAAAGGTCTGTAAACATTTAGGTCAAATAAAGCATTTAAATATATATTGTTATTTATAATGAATGTTTCTTTGACAAATCATTAGGAAATAAATCTTACTATATTCTATTAAAGAGTCTTATGTAGATATTAGAACTATAAAATTGTTTATCAGAAATATATTTTTAAAGTTTTTTTTTCTCTAGCAAAAAGACTTAACAAAAGTCTTGCAGCAAGTTCAATATCAACTGAACTCTGCAAGACCCGCTTATTGGAACCAAGAAAGTATTGGTTTTGCATTAGCTTATTGCCTATTTACCAATCAACACCATTCATAAAAAAAACACAATTTTATTAGTTACAGTGATAATATTGTGGTTTTATGTTACTCTGAATATTGTAAGTAACTTCCTAGAAAAACAACAAATAAATTCACGATTGTTTTTTTACTTGTACCATTTATAAGCCTATAAACTATTATCTCTAAACAAAAGTATATAAAAAATAAAAATAGGTACAAATAGAAATAAAAATAATTACATATTTCTCTATTTTAAGAAACTGTGTACTATATAGTACAGGGTTGTTCACCACATACGACACGGGGTATTGTAGCTAAACGATTAGATTTTTACAAATTGTAAGTTTTGGGTTCGTTGAAGGACTATTAGTGCTACAATTTAAAAATATTTTTACAAGATACAGAGTGTCCCAAATAAATAAAAAATATCAAAGTTAATTTTTTTTAAATGGAACACCCTGTACATTATTACAGTTTTAGTTTCTGCGATTAAAATAAAGGTAAATTTGATTAAGGTTTACCGCACTTTAATCTTACCGTTTTTGAAATATTTTCAATTTTGTGAAATTGCAGTATTGCAAAACTAGTATAGTCCGCAAAGAGGCCGATTTTACCGATAATGTCTAGAATTGCAATACCGTTGATAAACACCAGAAACAAAATAGAGTCTAGTACTGAACGCTGAGGGACACCACATTCTATAGGCTTGCAAGAAGATATAGACGTATCAATCCTCACAAGCTGCCTTCTGTTGCCAAGATATGACTTATGTCATTTGTGCGGCACTCCCCTGAATCCATAGTACTGAAATTTGTTAATTAAGCTGTTATGATTTACACAGTCGAAAGCTTTAGAGAAATCACAGAAAATTGTAGCTGTAGAGTGATGGTTATTCAGGCTAGAGTATAGATTATTAAAAAGGTCGAACATAGCATCAATTGTGCAACTGTTAATTGCCGAAATCCAAATTGATGGGAAATCCAAACAGTGAGAGTCTTTCTTTCAGCGCTATGAGGAAAGTTTTTAAGGTACTCAAAAACTAAGTATTTCTTGATACGTGATTGCAAATAATGTTGTATATTACGAGAGTGCATTGATTACATGTTTGTTTAATTGTTTTAGGTGTCTTTTCTTGTCTGAATGTGTTTAATAAAAAAATCTGATATCCGTTTTGATTAGTTTGAAGTGTTTTATAGTGGTCCATATACAGGGTGGTCCGAACTGATTCCGGAAACTTCGGCAGTATATTCTGCAGATAAAAATAAGTAAAAAAGTTCGGACAAATGTATGTCCTAAAATGTTTAGTTTCGGAGATACAAGGTGAAGAAGTTTCATTTTTATTTCGATTTTTTCCAAATAACTTCTGAAGTAACGTCATTATTTGGATGAAAATTGGTGTCTGGAAGTTTTTTGACATGAGAAATTTGATTTTGATGTCAATATGGCTGCTATTTGTAGGGGGCGCCACCTACATATGTTTTCACTGTTTTGAAGAGTAATGACTTTTCGTCTGTACCTGTATAAAACTACTGAGTGGAAAAATATACATTTCCGTCATTTTCAAATCGCTACGATCAACCGTCCTCAAGATATTTCGAATGGAAATAGTCAATTCGTGTCATTATCCCGCCGTTACTAACGTGCGGTCTCTTAGACCGGCTGCATTAAAAAAGTCCGATAATTCGGCAAACTTCACGGGGAAATTTTTATGCACCTAGGTACCTTCCTAATCTGACGCCAATTATTCAGTGTGTAAGCGACAGCCGAACAACCCAGGTTGTTTTGTATCTATTAGGAATTTCGGTGTGCCAGACCGACGTTAGTAATCGTGTTACTATATTTTGTCGTAGTGCGGGAAGTTCTCTCGCCTTTCTGCGTTTATCGAATTAAAAACTAAGATTTCTAATGGCGGGAGATTATGAAAAAACGGAAGTGTATTTACAAAAATTGTTAGAAGAAATAGGGGCTGACTCAGAAATTGAGGACAATGATGATAGTTTATCTAATGATGAAGTAGAATATCAAGATATCAGCATTTTAATGAATTCTGTTTTTTACGAAGACAAACTTTTATTTGGTTGTCCTTTAGGAATCTCAGTTTATTTTTAGCGTATAATGTTCATGTTAATTTTTCTTTTGTGTTTTAATGACATGGTTTTTTTATTATTGTCTTTTTGATTAAAACTGATAAATAAAAATATTTTCTCTAAAATAATTGTTATTTTATTATGTCCTTCTAGCAAAAAATACAAGTTGACAAAAAAACCTTTAAATTATCAGTTTTTCATGTTATCGGTCTCACAGACCTACGTTAGCAAAGTTGTGATACTCAGGCAAGTTAGCTATGGCGGGTTATTGACAAAAATAAGATACACGTTGAGTAGATAGTTATTTGACTGAATTATAATTTCAGAAATTTTTATGTTTTTAAATTAATCATAAATTTTTCTGCGAAAAAATTATGGTAAAACAGTTTCTACAGAACTTTTGACAAAAAACAGAATATGCTGCCGAAGTTTCCGGAATACAGTTCGGACCACCTTGTATATTTGAGTACCTATTCCATATTTAAGTGCCTTTATGTTCAATTTGTTTTTGAGAAAATATTATACTTTCAATTTATAAATTTACAGAAAACCGTTATTAAGTTATGTGCAACTGTATGACTGATAATAACTAAGAATAAACATTTTTGGTTTTCAAAACCTTTTTTTATATAACACAAAAACTAAATGGCATTCCAAAAAAAATTACCTTAATATATTACTTGTTAAGCACATTAAAAACTTCACTTAAATACACTTCAACTGCAACAAAATTTCGAAGTCAATATACTAAGAGTAAAAATCTACCGAGTACACTGACTGACTGACATTTCTTCACACGAAAATAAACGAAAACTATATTATTTGTAATAACTAACTACTTGGTTACTACTTTAGTTTTGTCCGTACCGACCGAATAGACAACACCAAGTGCAAAAACGAAAAATCGTTCTATTGTCGCCCGATACAGTTCTGTATCCAGGTCAGATTTAGTAAAATTTCAATAATTTCAGTTGCCAAAGGTTCTGCGGCTTGGTTGCCACAGACCCAACCGAGTTTTTCTGCCAGTGGTTGTGTCATTGGAAATTCGAAGAGGTTTTTTGCATCCACGGTGCTATCGGGCTTCTGTGAAGCGATTAAGAGCACATAAAAGTATGAAAGGTCAGATATACATAGTTAGAATTAAGATTTATTGTTTGTTTATTTACAGGGTGTTTCAAAAAACGTGTGTGCCATCTCGCGTAGGGAGATTCCTCACGTAAAAATATGATTTATTTTTTATATCAACATAGAGGTTCTGCATTGTTTCGTAGATACAGAGCGTAACGCAACGTAATAATAAAATAAAATTTTATTAATACATTACAGCGACGGTGCTGTTCGCCTGGAGAGCATTATAGGGTGAGTCAGGTTTGTGCTCAAATGAGCGCCACTGAATCTACCTAATAGTTAAATAACATTAAAGATTCAGAAAACTGTTATTAGGAAAAGATATTTGCCAAGATGGAACCTCATTCATGCAATAAAACAAATAAATTTTTACTCTACTAAATCTAAATATATTAATTAAAATTAATGTTTGGTTATAAAATACGTTTGTTTTATAACAACCGGAAAGTAATGAAATATGTTTAAATTTTGAAAAAGAGGTTAAAATGTTATTTAAATTTGCAATTAAAGTATATAATTAAATTGAAAAGTATATAATTAGGTGAAATATTACAGATGTTCAAAACTACTTATAAAAAAAAATTAATAAAATTATATCAGATTTTACTATCTATACCTTTTTATAGTGTACCCCAAAATAAAAGTACATAAGCCTGGGTAACTTATCCGACAACAGCAGCTGAGTACGGCAATGTTGAACAGGTTTGAACAGGGTGAACTCCAGGAACTACAGTTGCATCAGCAAGGCTACAAATCTTTGTTGAGTTGAAAAACAGGGTGGATGTCTCGACACCATGTAATCACGTGCAAGTGAATGTTAAAATAAAACTATCCAAAGCAAGAAAGGAAAACCAGGAAAAGTAAAAACCAGAAAGAAATAAGCAAAACCCTGTGGACAATATTTAAATTAATATTTGTAGATTTTAGGTTATGATACCTTACTCCAAAGCGTAACTAACAAGTCATCCAGCTACCATCAACCATTTAATGATCAAAATTAGTGAATCCATTCCAAAATTGTCCAAATCTAATGAAAATCATTAAGAATCAGAATTGAAAAGGTAAAAGACGTGAATAAGTGAACTTACCCAATATCTGGCCACATGGCACACAAAAAAAATCTCTACTATTTTGGTTCAGGCAAATCTTGCAAAAATTTATAAAATTATTATATAGCATCCAAAAATTAAACTGGTAATCCCCACATGAACCAACAGTACAGGATTTCACCAAAAAAGACAATCTCCTCCCGATCGCCACGCCAATATGGCGATCGGAGGGAAAAGAACAATCATCGACCAAAATGGACCTCCAAAGATTTGACAATCCAGAAATGACATCAGAAAACGAAAGTTGGCGGCGTTGCCGTACTGACCAAATAAACAGGTATTTTGGGGAAAATATTAGAAAGATAAATTGAAACGAAACTGTCAACACTGCGTAGCTCACTCGCTGCTGTTAAACAAATATAAAATAATTATAAAGACATATTTAAATATTATAATTAATTAAGAGAAATTTATAAACTATAATTAATAAAAAGAGAAAGGGCTATTATCAAAAAGGTAGCAAGTTTAAAAAACATGCTACAAGAGAGTTAAAGTCTTCATTTTTTTTTCGATTTATTATAATTTTCTTCCAAGTGCTTTTAACGATTCGAATAAAATTTTGAGAGAATTCTATCCCTATTTTTATTTAATGCTGTGGTTGTAAATAAAATAGTATACAAACCTCGGAGGAAAGTTTTCATTACTGTCTCGAGATTTAGTTAACAATATCAATCTCGCGACAGTAATGAAACAATTCCTTCCTCAGTATGTAATATACTATTAAAAATCTGTAATTATCTTAAACAGGTGTAAAATAAATCACTGATGTCACAAAAAATGCAAATGCTCAACAATTATATTTTTTCTAATTTACACCTTTTCTAAAACTAAAGTTATATTCACGACTTTTAATTCAGAATGAAAGTATTTTAATAATAAATAAAAATTAACAAATTAATGATTTAGAATTGTTTAAAGGTTAGCTGTTTTGGTTGTGGTACAAAGAAAGTACTGTAAATTAATTGAAAATCACAAGTAACTGGTGCATTTTGAACAGCACGTATAAATTATACCATGAATTACAAAATTTGCCATGAATTCATATAAAGAGCATAGTCATTCATATAATTTCCATAACATTCGTATTTCTCAGTTATTTTTTAACTGTTTTTTATTACAAGTCTATTTCTTTTCTTATTAAGACAATAATTGTAGAATAATGTTTTGTTATCTAAAATTTAATATTATTATTGAAAATATCTGGCAAGTCCAGCACAGCCCTACCATCTTTTTCTTGAAGCATGTGATTTTAGTGATCAAGAGGACATACTATAACTGACTATACTGATAATATGTCTAATAATGATACCTTATAGTTTATGAATTATCGCTAGTCAAAGTTATTTAATTCCAACAGTGATACATTCATCAATCATCAAAGTACTTTTAAAAATCTAATAAATATTTCAAAATTTGAATTTTAGTCAGTGTCTAGCCTATAAGGAAAGAAAAAAAAATTAGAAAAACTCTTTTACTTATTGATTTACTTAAATGATATTATTTTGAAACATCCGTGAAAAAAATACTCTATAGTCACTACCGTTGTTGCCAACTTTCTGAAAAAAAATTTCCCACGAAGAGTTCACAAATACCATATTATAGTGTCGTCAGCATAATACAGATATTTGCAGAGAAATATTATGTTTTTTAACTGAAAATTTAAAATTTTTCTAAACAAATTTCGAAATATATTTTTCAATGCTTTTTTCGCGCAAAAAACACATGAGATTTCAAAATTTTCTTGTATAGGAAGAACAGCATTGGGAAACATTTTTGATATAGAACTTTCCTACACAGTCAATTATTTATCAACTTTTAGTACAGTGGTTAATAGGAAAAACCATTTTTTTTTTGTTATTGGTAATCCTACTAGAAGTCCATATTAAAGTACTAAAAAACGAAGCGTTTTTCAATATTAAAATAAGCACTAGAAAAAATGGTAAGCTGGTTTTACAATGATATACCATTTTAGGAAATATTGAAATACTGATAATTGTGTTGACATTTTCTGTACATTTTTTTCCAAAATATGAGGCATAGTTTGATGGATTTGTCACTAATGGCATTGATATATCATATGATCGAGAAAAAAAACGGCGTCAAAGACGGCTGTGTAATGACAATCGATGATAATTTTGTCGCGGTCAGTCTCTAGACGTCATTAACTAAAAATTGATATAAAACTTCCTATAAATTAACACTAAAATTATAGAAAGATTAAAAAATCTAAAAAATCGTCTAGGGCTTGACCTCCCCAAAATTATCATCGATTGTCATTTCCCAGCCGTCTATGACGCCGTTTTTTTTTCGATCCTGTGGTATATTAATGTCATTAGTGACAAATCCTGGCATTTTTTTACAGAGTGTTTAATAATAAAACTATATTTAACATTTTTTTAAATTTAAAAAAATAAATCTCAATATAACAAATTGTTTCTATATAATAATAATAAACAATTAGTGAATTTACATAAACAAATACCAGGGTTCAGGGTAGGTCAACGAATTGGTTAACAATAAACACACAAATATCAACTTACCGATAATCGGGTAACACGACACAATAAAAATTAATAAAAAATCCTATATAAATTCTTTATACGACCACTAAAAGAGGACTGAACCAAACTGAAGATTGTTTAAACAAATACTGCATGGCTGGACGTGATGTTTCGATAAAACCGATATACCCATGCACAAAAAATTGTTTTAAATTTATCTTAGAAATTGTTTTTGCATCCTCTACGTATAGTGTGGTAGGTTTATGTACAGGGTGGCTCGAATTCAACGCTCATCATTGGGATTTCGGAAACCGTAAGAGATACAGGATCGGTTAAATGGAGGCAAAGTAGCGCAATTTGATGCTCAATAAAATGCAGTATTGCATTTGTTTGCACAAAATATTCTTGTGGTGGAATTTTCTGTACATTTTTCTGTAAAATTTTGTGTTCTGGTGAATATCCAGGATTTTTTCAAGATACTTAAAACTTGCGATATTTACTTTCAGACTTAAGTATATAACAAGATAGGGAATAAAAATATGGAAATATAAGTATAAGAAGAAAAACAAAGATAAAACTTTTAATAATTTTATTAAGCCTGAATATTTTATGGCGAACGAATACATACAATTTTACTTAGCCGAAATCGTAAAAAACGAAATAAACTTGTTGACATAATAATAATATTTTTACCGTCTTCCAGTCCAAAGATCCCTAATGAGAATATTCGTCTTCGTCTGCTATATAAGCATATAAGCCTAAAAGAAAAGCAAAAGCATTATTAACGTTAAGCTGGATCAAACAATATTGTTATATGGAGTTTAAAAAAAAATATGCGTCCTTAAAAAGCCTCAAAACTGTCTGAACTGAAAGAAAAATAAGTAAATCTAGAGGAGTTACAAATGAAATAACATACAATTCCCACCTTAATACCTACATATTAGAATATTAGACAAACGGATTTTTCATTATTAAGTCATTATATAAATAAAATAACCTTAAATATTGTTTTGTTATTACTCAGCATATAGGTACAATCAAAATGTAAACACACGGTTTCTCTTATTGCATGCAAAGCTACTGCTCAAAATACTAACTTGTGAAAGGTTATGTTTCCATTTTTTTTTCATTTATAAGTTCTACAAATCATGCACTGTATAGCCCAGAATTTTTGTGTTCCTTTGAAAAAAAGATAGTTACAACGTCCAATCACAGCTTTTTTACAAAAAAAACACGTAACATGAAACTAAAAAATGTAAACGAAGAGAAAAAAAAACTAAAGGGTATTAACTTGCAAATAAACAGATATTTATAATTTGATGAAATATCAAAAAATATTGTAATAATATTTTTAAATCTTTTTTAATAAATAAAAAAAAATGCTCTACCTAGCATTTTTATGTTTACATCTGGGTTATATATCTGGGTACATATGTTATGAACCAGTAAGACTTGTCTATTTAAAATATTTCTTTATCTGATGTAAAGAAATAAATCAAAATATTTTTAGGCGTCTTTTTAGAGTAAAAGAAAAATAAAAATAAGAGGAAAATTACGTAAAATAAAGCATATTTTATATGATTACCTTGGGTTTCATATCTGCGTAACATTTATGCGTTAACCAGGCGTTTTCACATGGACTCTTGCCAACTGCAACAGAATTATTAACAATCAAAATAAGCAAAATTTTAAAATTCAAAATTGTTCAAGATTAAATACCAACAAAAAAGTCGTTTACCGCATATAGGGCTCTCTCCAGTAAGTATGATTTCAGAGCTTTGCGAAATGCGGGAAAGAATGAAAGCGACTTGATATCCAAAACCAGATGGTTGTACATTTATTTGGCATTGTACAGGGTGGGTCAAATTCGACGCTTTTAAATGGAAACACCCTTTTCTATAGGAGATAGACGAAAACTAATATCGGTGTCTGGAGCTCAATTTTCATCAAAAACATGATGGTGAAAACCGCACATCAATATCTGTTACTGTTTCGGAGTTACGGGGTGTTTTTCAAAAACGTGCATTTTTAACAAATCGCTGTAACTTTTTTGCTATGGAAAATTTTGTATTTCTATGAAAACATGTAATATTCTATAGGCTGCAAGACGACATAGGCGTACCAATCCTCACAAGCTTCCTTCTGTTGTATTAACTATTGTTTTTTATATAAATAAATAATACCTTTTGTACCGCAAGTTCTAATAACAGGCGTAGCCTCTTCCTGCATTTCCTCCGGCAACACCGCAATGGTAGCTTCAACATCGACCATACCATCATCATCAATCTTTAAAAATATAAATGGTATAAAATTTTTTACATTTATTATGAAAAACCAAATTCATTAAAAAAAAATAATTTTATTTAATGATTAAATTTCTCTGTATATTTTTCAAAAACTTTGCCTGTTCACCGCAAATTTTCTCACGTCTAATTTCTTAATCTCTGATATTACCATGGTTATGGCATTAAAAGGGAAAAAATGCAATTAACAAGCAAAAATTGCTGAAAACGGATAAAAATTTCGGAAAAGGTGTAAACAAAATACCCTGTATTATAAAGTGCAGAAATACTAGTTGTGTCATATGATTACTTTGTCTATTTCAGTATTCCCATAATAAATAACTAACTAGAGTAAAACATACCCCTTTAACCCGTAATATCTAAAAATATGTTTTTTTACTATCAAAATGTTATTTTAGGAGTTTTATTATTGGAATCTATTGGGATGAAAAAAATAATACCTTTCTGTCTGAGACAGATTTCCTTTATTGATAAAAGCAAAAGAAACATCTAAACGCTTTAGCAAAAACAAACATTATAGGGATGCGAAAAAAGGGCAATATTGCTAAAAAGGAAAAAGTAAAGAAGATTAGAGACATCAGTTCTTTTCTTAGTTCTGACATTAAGAACATATTTTGAAAGAAAGTATTAATAGATACAAAAAAATCAATTATGGGTATTTCGCCACTGCACTGCAAGAAAATCTACAAAATAAAATAGTTATTTTTTGTAAACACTTCTGCGTTAAACCTAAACGGACACTGTTTGTCAGAAGTTATGTTTACAGTTATACAAATTTGCCTAACAAAGAAAAAAATGCTTAACGTTTCGGAATGTTTATCTCTTTTCTTAAGAATAAAGAAAAAACTATTTAAATTATTTAAATTCAACTATTCGAGAACACTTTACTTTTTTTAAAACAGATACGTCAACAATTACTACCTGATAACAATTACTTAATAAGGTAAAACCAAAAAGCCCCAAACTTTTTTATGCTTGTATTAAACTTCCTAATTTATGTGAATCCAAACTAAATTATTATCTGTTAAAATCTGAACTGAATTATTGAAAATAAATTATGAAAAAACCCAGCTGTATCAATGTTATTTAATTTTACCTTACACCACATAACATTAAGAAAGACCCAACAAAAAAGCGACTAAACGCTTTGCTTGGCAAAACCTTTACGGTTAATGGTACCTACCTATGCAATCGAATTTCATTGAACGACTAATAGATGATTGAAAAAAAAGGTACTACACCATGAAAATCGTATTATTAATGCAATATCGGTACTATTACCTTAATAAATAAGGTTCTTAGAATAGATATTGAGATGTACTTACGCAAGCCATTTGGGCCATGAGACACTTAATGTAGCATTTGAGGTTTTCGTCATCTGCGAACACTTTTTCATTGTTGACTTTGTCGATCAAATCTGTAACGAACGGATTTTACTATTCAGGGTGTCCCAGAAATAAGTGCAAGTATTTTGCGAAAAAAATGTTGAAATTTTAATATTTTTTCTTGACATTTTCCGAAAAATATTGAAAAACTTTTGAGTGCCGCCTGTTCAGTTTCCAAAAATTGGTTTATAGTGTTTTGAGAGTATTCAATGTTGCCACCTCCTATGTCTTTAAGTTCACATTTTTAAATTTCTACAACAATTGTTATTTTTTTATACAAGATGATAAAAAAATAGGAATTTTATCGTCGACCAAAAAGATTAATTAATTTATCGTCCTATATAAAACAATATTTTTCCATAGCGAGTTACTTTTTAAAAAATATTCAGAAATTATTATTTCAAGGAATTTATTACCAGTAGAAAAAATATTGTGCTGGGTTGGCGTTGGATTCTATGTAATTTGACAAATAAATAAAGCTGTCTCTTTAGTTGTCAGTTTTGAGTCAATATTTTTTAATTCTCTTTCGTGTCGATTGCTGATTGAATTGGAGCCAGAAATGGCTCACAAAAGTAAATTACCAACAGATATTCAAGCTGAAGCGACAAATGCCATATCCAAACTACTTCCATTTAAATCCCGAATAACTTATGAAAAGGAATACAAAAATTTTCAAAAATGGAAGCAATTAAGAAACGTGCGAGAAGAAATAAAGTTTTTAACCTATACTCGCTGTTAAAGTATCATTTAATCTACCTTTGCGGTTAAAATACTATTTTATCTACTATTTTTGATAGATATAAGGCAATTCTAACAGCTGCTATGGAAAAAAATACTTTTTTTAATTCTCCAAAAACTAATCCTGAATAATTCAGATGGCATATGAATGTATTTTGTGCCAAATACACGTGTAAGTGTAGTGTTGTCAAGAATCGCAGTAAAATGAAGCCTTGTTAAGTGCTAAGTTGTGGTTTTAGGTAAAGTGACGATGCTCTAACCTAATTACATCGATCTGCTATCTATCGGAGTCCCGTTTTCTAATGTTCGGAAGTTTTTTACTTTTAATCTGAATTTTCGTCGTTTTTAAATCTTTCTAGACAGTCTGTCAACACTGGGCGTCGAACAAGCTGAGATTCTGGTAATTGCTTGGTATTTGCGGCGGCTCTCAAAATGTTTCCATTATTTTTTTCAAATTTTCAAACTTAAATTACTCGGTTATTATTAATTTATTATAAAAATGGTAAAGGGAACATATGATTCTTTTGGCCAGATCTACTACTGCTTAAAATACTTGCACTTATTTCTGGGACACTCCGTTATTTACCTTCAGATACTCCAGTTTCAGCAACACAGGTGTTATGCAACATTTGAGCTAGTTCTTTCATTTCTTCAGACATCGCCTAAAAATTAATTAATTTCTTGTTAATCAAAAATAATACTTAAAATGTTATTCGTATAGATCACAGCCTATTCATAACCAGTCTGTCGACTTAAAATCATTTGTATGGAACTATAGGTATCTACTTAGAAATACGCCTATCTTATGTTATGTTACAAGTCTGAAAATACTCAAAAGCAAGTGATGAGAATCAGCTGTTGGTTCATAAGCTGTGATATAAAAAATCTCTTGATCTTATTATTATTTATAAGTCAAATAATAATAGTAGAAATGTTGCTTGACTGAGAGAGCGTATTAGATAAATATAGCTTTATTATTGTTTAATTACAGAGAATAAGAACAGTTATTTTCTTAAATCTTAGAATAAATAGTATATTATTGAACGAGCAATTTATGCTAGCCATATCCACGCAGGGTGACGTTTGCGTCAAGAGCCGTAGGCGAGGGGCGCGAGTCACCCGAGTGAATAATGGCTATAAATTGCGAGTTGAATACTATACTTTGTCCACGGCCATTATAATAATTATGAGGAGTGTTTGAATTTGTATTTTTAATGTTAATCTTACTATTAATTATTGTATTCATGTTTTAGAGGAAAATATCACTACCTTTCAAACGTCAAAATTAACTAAAAGATAATAAAAACGTCAATATCATCAGTTGCTATGCATCGAGGGTCGCAGTCATCTCGAACTATTCTATTTTCAAATATTTGGAAAGTTTATTATTAGATGTGCTTTTTTCTACCACCTTTAGTAAAATAAATTTGTTGAAAAATGATAGATCGGACCACCAGCAGCTGACTTTTTTTGTTTTGTGTAACTAAAGTTGGTAATTTGTGCTTTATTTATCGTTATATATGTATTTGAATTTTATTGATGCTGCTTCAAGTTTTTGCAATAAAACATACTTCTACCAACTTTAGTTGAGTACAGTTGTTGGAGAACGATAAATTGGAGTACCAGCATCTGACTTTTTGTTGTTTTGTGTAATTAAAGTTGATAATTTGTGTTTTATTTAAAGTTATATATGTATTTGCATTTCATTGATATTATTTCAAGTTCTTTGCTTGAAAAAGAAAAGATAAGAAAAACGTCAAATCATCCACGCCGCACATCGGGATGTTGTGTCACGTTGGCATAGCAACAAATGTAAAGTAAATGCAAAGTACGATAATTCACTGTTATCAGCTGTTATATTTCACTATATTACAAATAATATGGGCATCATATTCCTTCAGCTAGGAAGTAGAATATTGACTTAATCTAAATCTTAAAAAAGCTAAAAAATACAAATACTGAATATTTTATATTCGAGTGTAACAAATACTTACAGAAACATTATTTATAGAAATATTTAATAATATTTGACACAGTAATACAAAATACACTAACATGTCTTTTAGGAACGATGCAAAAATCAAATCAACACTAATTTTTAATTGTTACCGTGCTTTATATCAGTTCATTTTTACCTACAGTGTGTAATTAATTAACGATAACCAATAATCTTTAAGCGAATGAAACCGATTATAAAAGTTTAATAAGCACAATAACAAAACTAAAAAATTATACAGCAAGGTTGGGAAAAATCAATAAAAAGAAAACAACATTTTTGATGTTTTTTTATTTATATTTTTATTTTAATATAAGTAGTAACAGAAATCACTGGTAATTATAGTCGGAGTTGGGCTTTAGATCAAAAAGTAAGCCTGAAATATGTAAATAAATTAGTAAATATATCCTAAAAGTTTTACATATACAGGGTGTCCCAGAAATAAGTGCAAGTATTTTAAGAGGTGGTAGATTTCGATAAAAGAAATATATTTTCTCTTTACCGTTTTTCATATAAGTCCAAAATTACGGAGTTACTTTACTTCTTCTTTCCAAAAAAATGATTTTTTGCTCAAATTTTGAGAACCACTTAATCTTTTCTGGATTTTCTTTCTTGTAAATTTAATCTACTACCTATGTTGCCATATTATCAAGAAATTATGTTTTTTTAACTAAAAAACTAAAAAAATTCCCAATTTTCAAATTTTTTTTTTGCCGAAGTTATTTAAAATACTTGCACTTACTTCTAGGACACCTTGTATAGTATGTGAAAGAAAACGATGTCATATTAAGCATAGAAATAATATTTCACTTCAGTTTCAAATCTCAAATATTTTACGATGAGTTTTCCTTATAACTGTCTGTGGAATTTAGAATGAGTCATAGTAAAGTTTGAACTAAAATATTATTTCTACTGTGACGCGTTTTTTTTTTCAATCACACGGTATCTGGGTTTAACAATACATACTTCTGGATCTTCTCTGTAATAACATTTGTGTGTCAACCAAACCGTGTCACAAGCATCTGCACCTCCTAAAAAAAAGAAAAATAATTAATATCCAAAGCAAACTAAGTTGTATAACTAAAACACTTGGCTGTTCTGATTATACACCCTGTATATTTATTTACCAGACAGAACTTCAGATCTTTCTACGTATTCTATTTTATTTATGTTTTAATATTCTGCGACTTATATCTATGATACAATAATATTAAAAAAACGAAAATATAGAACAAGACAAAAATCCTAAGAGAGTTATATTTCATTTTGAAAATTTATTGCCCAAAGTTTCTATTGTTTCAGTTTATGGAATGCTTTTGAAAAGATAATATATAAAAATGTATAAAATATCGGAAAATTTTATATTTTCTATGAGACCGTTTTACGTATCAAAAGCTTCGCTCTCAGTGAGAACGTTCCAATTCATAATAAAACATTTCATAGTGTCAAAGTTGTCAGTTATATCAAAAAACTTTTATACGTATATTTCCATATTATATAATATATCCTCTTTTTCGGTATTTATGTGCTATTGTTATAAATAAAAATCTAAATTTTAGATTGTTAAAGGACCTATTGTTAAGAAAAAAAGGAAGAAGGCAGTGGCGGTACGTAGGTCAATATTTTGGGATGCAGAATCAAGGCCCCCATACACTTAGGTTATATTGCTCGTTTTTAATCGTGTAGTTAAGCTCCACACACTGTCTTATTCTGCCCAGTTTATTTTATATACCTAGATTTGAGAAAAAATTTGGTAGTAGTGGCAGTACTAATTTTGCAGTAAAAACGAAACTCCAAAAAGGAAATAGAGAAAAATGTTACAAAAGTTGACTACTTATCCTTGTGTGACCGAGAGTATATATCTTGGCATTTTGCTATCAATTTATTATATATCTTGTTTTTTATTTCTCTCTAGGTATGATGTACTAGCTATGTACCGGGTGTCCCACGTAGGGCTTACGGAAAAAAACATGTATAACTAAAGAGGCTATGGGAAATTGCTGGACATTATTTTAAAGCTTGTAGAACAACCGCTAGGGGGCGCAACTGTAACAAAAAATAAGAAAATGGAGTTTTTACCCAATTTTGCCTAGATAAGGTGTACTATAAGTAATAGCTTCATAATCTTCAGTAAATTTTGAATATTTTTTGTTAAAGCCATTTTCCCCTATCTACCAAAATAAAGTGATGGAGGAAGGGTAGATCTGTTTTTATTTAAATATTAATAACTCTGGACTGGATGATCGGAATCCAACAAGCGAGAGCTCGTTTAAAAGAGCGTTTCTTACTCTATATTGTACCATAATAATAAGCTTTTGAACGTAGGCGCTAGGAGGCGTTGTCTTACAATTTAACAAACATTGCGCGTTTTTTCAAAAAAATTAAATATATGTAATTTTAGCTGATAGTAAAGAGTAGTAAAAGCTTAAAAAGTCAGCGAAAACCGCATCTTGATATCTTCTTTCAAACCGAAGATATTAGCAAAATTAGAATAAATACCAAAAAAATTATCAACATTTTGATAGTTTTATCAGCGTTTTTTATCTTTTAATTGCTTTTTGAAAATGCCTTTATTATTTGAAATAGTTGAAGTTGTTGGCATTTTGAAAAAGAAATTAAAAAATAAAAAACGCTGATGAGACTATCAAAATGTTGATCTAATAACAATTTGACGTTTATACTATTACGACAAAAGTAACTTTTTTCCAAAGCCTACCATGACTTCACCGAAACATCGTTTCTTGTTCACTGTTATTAATATCTTAATTATTAGATATTATGGTATTCTGGTATTTCGTCGATTTTAAAATAAACTAACTGTTTCTATCTTATTTTTTTGTTAGAATGGACATAATTAAGAGGGCTACTGATACCGTGTTGTAAAAATAAGGTAATTAAGGACTTATTTTTTGGTAGTTATTATAATTTTGCTAATGTCTTCGGTTTGAAAGAAGCGGTTTTCGCTGACTTTTTAAGCTTTTACTACTCTTTACAATCAAATTACATATATTATTGCATATAATTTTTTTGGAAAAACGCGCAATGTTTGTTAAATTGTAAGACAACGCCCGCTAGCGTCTACGTTCAAAAGCTTATTATTATTGTTTATATGGTACAATATAGAGTAAGAAACGCCTTTTAAACGAGCCTCGCTTATTGATTCCGATCATCCAGTCCAGAGTTATTAATATTTAAATAAAAACAGATCTACCCCTTCCTCCACCACTTTATTTTGGTAGATAGGGGAAAATGGCTCTAACAAAAAATATTCAAAATTTACTGAAGGTTATGAAGATATTACTTATAGTACACCTTATCTAGGCAAAATGGTGTAAAAACTCCATTTTCATATTTTTTGTTGCAGTTGCGCCCCCTAGCGGTCGTTCTACAAATTTAAAAATAATTTCCAGCAATTTCTCATAGCCCCTTTAATTATAAATATTTTTTTCCGTAAACCCTACGGCTAATACTTTCCGAGATACAGCCGAGAGCGATTCTTAGGGGGACACCCGGTACATTGGTAGACATTAAAGAGGGTACTTATTGAGGACCCGCCACTGCTTTTTATAAATCAGTAATACTTACTTTGTGTATCACATTTTCTGATTGCTGGCGCTGAATCTTGGAACTCCTCAGGTAAAACCGCAATCATAGCTTCTACGTCTATAGTACCTTCTTCGTCTACCTGAAAAAAGTTAATGAAATCCATTATATTTTTGTTTAATATTTCGTTTCAAGTATTTTCTTTTTATTTCAATATGTTTCTTGTTTTTAAATGTTGTTTTTAAATGTGACCAATGTTCAATACTAGTTTTGTCTCACCCTGTATAACATATAAACAACTATGAAATAATGTATAAAGGTGCAAATTCCTTAAAAAAAATACTTACAATGGCCATCTGGTCCAGCAGACATTTAATGTAACATTTGAAGTTTGGATCTTCGGAAAACGTGCCAGACTTTGCATTGGTAATGGCATCTAAAAATTTGTATTTTTTTATATAAACAAACTTCGAAATTTATAAGAATAATTGCGGCCATAGCTGCTTTTAGAATTGTTAGGTAAACTTCGAGTATTTTTGTAACATTAAAGACTAAAAATAAACCAAACTCCGTAAAGAAAAAATGTTTTATTTAAAAGTCGATTTGTATTCTGGGAGATAAATGTTTATTTTTGGCTAAAAGAGTTGGGGAATTTATCAAAACACTGGCGTATCTAAGAAAGTCATGTTTGGAGAATGTAATTTTCCCCAAAAAAATAGACAAATATTATATATTTATGTTACAGTTAAGTTAATCCATTGTCTCCATTTTTGGCTAATTTATTCATGAGCAGGTTTGAAGTGGAGGCTAAGAATCTTATCACTCTCGTTTGAGTATTTTCCAAGAGTATGGTTTAGGTATGTGGATGATATTTTTGCTGTTTTTAGTCTTTGATTATCATTTTGACAGACATTCAGACACCATAGATAATTTTATTTCTAAGTTAAATAATCGTTTTCCTTCCATTAAATTTACACATGAAATTGAGAGCAACGACAAATTACCATTTCTAGATGTATTAGTTATTAGAAATACTAATAATTGCCTGGAATTTGATATCTATAGGAAAAATACCACTACACGCAGATATATTCCTAATGAATCATATCATAGTATTGAACATAAAACGGCTAGTTTAAATTTCTTAGTTCATAGATTACTTAGTTTTCCACTTACCATCGAAAGATATGAAATAGAAAGAGATTACATTAGGAATGTAGCTGAGTGTAATGGATATTCTCCTTCACTAGTTGATAAAATAATTAGAAAACGTAGGTATAGGTTAATGATTTCTGAAAATTCGACTTTTCAAGTGGAGAAAGATACGTCAAAATATTTTTCGATACTGTTTGATAGAGAATTATCCCGTGGTCTAAAAGGAATTTTTAAGAATGTCAATTATAAACTTGTGTATAGTGCTAATAATAAATTACAACAATTATTAGGTAATCCAAAGGATAAAACACCTCCACTGGAAAGGTATTTATGAAATTTCTTGTAAAGATTGTAATCAGAAATATATTGGGCAAACTAGAAGATCAATATTAACTAGATTTAAAGAACATTTAGCTCAGATAAGATATGGTAGACCTCATAAATCTTGCGTTGCCGAACATATTGTTGATAAAGAACATTGTATAGATCTTAATAATTTAAAATTAATTAAACAAGTCTCAAATTACAGGCAATTAGATGCATATGAAAGCATCCGAATTAATAAATGTAAAGATAGTATGAACAGAGACAACGGTCCAATTCCTTTAAGTTCTTTGTTCCTACTACTCTAGTGGCGGAAATTTAACTGTTTCGCTCGGTGGGCTCTGACTCGGTTGGCTAGATCTGGCCACGCCCACTCGGTGCCCACTGAGCGAGTATATAAACGCTCAACTTGTAGATTGTATTTTAGTTTATAGTCATCTGCTGATGATGCTAACATGGTTAGCGAAACGGGCGTCCAGTGTAAAAGTAAAAGTGTTTTGGTGTTTTATGGTGATTTAGTGTTTTATTTTGCAATATTTTCCACAAAAAGGGAGTCTTAGTGTTTTTTACAATTATTATATTAACACAATTGTGTTAAACCCCCTGGATAATAAATTCTGTCTACACCACTGTACGAAAATATAATTATCAAACCCCCCATAGTCATGAAATAACCAGGAAGAAATTCGTGAGAATTTAAAATTATAAACCTCTTATTTTTTTACCCCATACACATCAAAAGAATATATTAAACTTTGAAAATACATTTTTCCTTGTTATAATTTAATATTATACTGTCAAAATGAAGGAAAACTTTCATTGAAAATATAAAAATATCAGTAAAAAACATAAATTTTCTTGTACAGGATTATTTTATCATGAATTAACTGGGTAATTACATTTTTTTTAATAGAAAAACTTCTTAGGCCTGTGATGAAAGAGAATGTAACTTCTCCTCCTTGGGGAGAAAAAGTTTGTCTCTCTCTGTGGATGTTTTTAGAGAATCTGGGTCACAAACTTCATTAATATGATGTTAGACTTGTCCGAAATGTCAAACGACAGTTTCTTATTTTGGATACAGCTACAGCTAATTTGATCTTACTTAGAGATACTTAAATAAATCATAAGGTTTTTTTTTATAAATGTTTATTCTTAGAAGATGCTTGAAAGACAAGAGAAACATAAAAAATATATTAATGTATACCGGGTGTTCTTCAAAAGTGGCTTGCCCTTCCCAAGTAGCATTTTCACGACTTGCGACCACATGTTTACTAATCACAACGTTGGATTAGTTACAAAAAATAGTTAGCTCCATACCTTGGGTATTAAAATAAATATAAACGTTGTTGTAACGTTGTGCCGACGTTGAACTAGTACTACAACAAAGTAAAAGTTTCTGCGACGTCGAATAAACGTTGTCTTGTAACCTTTTTTGTTTAAGTGATCTGTAAGTGATTCGGACAACGTAGTTACAATGTTGGGCAATACAGAGTTTTCCGACGTCACTTTCAGGACATATTCCAACGTTATGCAAACGTCGTCTGTTTTACTAATTCCAACGTTGTTTAGATTTCCTTATTCTTACGTTGGTAGGACATCGAGTCACTACCTTTTTGCAACTGTATTGAACCATAACCTTAAATCTTAAATTTTCACTTCATTGTTCTGTTCAGTCAGACAGTTCAGTACAGTTTTTGTTTTTATAAAAAAAAACTTAATTAAAATGGGACATAAGAAAGGTACATTATAAAACTAAATTTAAATATACATCGACATATTACCGATATTTTATCCACTTCCTCGTTTATTTAGAATATAGAGGGCGGCACAAGCTAGACTCTAGGATGACTAAATTAGGCAATCTTGCGACTAGTATACTACCTGTTAAGGCTGAACTGCGACTTTATTAGTCCAGTATGCGACTACTCGAACTACTCCATCTTAATCTCCAAAACAACAAAGTGAAAGCCGCCATGTTGTTTAGTAAGAAAATGTTTCGTTCTTAAAATAGCAATTCCTGATTTTTGAATAGATTAACTTGAAATATTTGACCCTAAACAACACGCGGAAACAATTTTTTCGACAGCGAATAAATTATTCTCATTTTACTAAAAAAAATTCAAGAAATATTTTAAAACTTCTTTAATTTTAAGGCCCATTAGTATTTTTCAAAGTAGAAACATTACATTTATCAATAAAGTTGTTTGCGTTTGACTTTTTTGCCTTGGGTAACGAGTTACAGAGTCGGTTAAAGTGTTTCAATAATTATGATCTTCAAACATCCTCCACACTTAAATGCTTTTGTTTTGTTTTCCTTTACTGCCATCTGGCATATGTCTCTAACTAAATCATAAAAATAATATTTTTACTATAATTATCCCAATTTAGAACAGGCTAATTAAGCAGCTTTGGAAAAATAGATTTGATCGGCTAATGTAATTTTTCGTACCTTATTCTGGCCGGTTAAAAGATGCCCAACTCGTATTTTTAATCATAATTCAATTTTTTCAAAAGGAACGAGGAGTCTCAATTTGGAAAATACATTTTTTACGAATAATTTTGTACCACACACTTGGTATTTCGAATCAAATTGTCATTACATTTATGGCATGGCACTCTGAATTGAAATTTAAATTACTATTTTTCTTAGTTAAAAATATCAAAAGTTGACATATGATATGTCATTCCATTCAGAATGTCATTTTCTATCAAATAAAGTAAAAAATACCGACGGCATCGTTTAAAAAACAAAAATTGTAGTCATTTCCGGTGAAACAGGAAGTGACCGAAAACAATTGAATACGTCAATCAATCCTAATTTATGTCATATACTAATATACGAAATTTCGTTTTTTTATCTGAAAAAATAAAAAAGTTATAGAGGTGAGTCGATTTTGAAAAACACGCGGTATAGAGGCTCTAACCAACACATAAAAAGAAGAGAATAAAAAAAGAATATGGCATCACAGTAATTAATGAGAGAATATACTTACTGCATCTGTGGTATTGATGATATATTTAGAGAAAAATAGTTATACAAAAAACTTACCCTCTTTTGCACCAGTTTCTCCTACGCAAGTGTCATGTAATTGTTTAGCTAATTCCAGCATTTCTTCAGTCATACACTAATACAAACAATATCAGTGTCTTTATTCAAATCACTCAAACAAAACCATAAAATTGTTACCTGAATTAAGGACACCATATTATACACTATAGAGGAACTATTGGAACACCCCCCAAAAAAATCCGTATTTTTTTTAATGTTTTTGTATAATTTCTAGCGCAATTAACTTACCCTAGCATAGCAGTACGACTCCAAGTACCAAGAATCTTCCAGTTCTGCTATCTAGAATATTATTTATTTATTCTATTATTTTGTCCTTTACTCAAGTAACAATCTGGTTTTTAATGTATTTATTTAAGGCTAATATACTTACAGAAACGTAAGGTAAATAATATATCGCAAGACATATTGTTAAAACTTTAAACATGGCTTTTTTGAATATGTCTAAAGAGACTTTTCTTGATATAAATCAAATCATGTACTAAATAAATCTGTTATATATCCGCCGTTTAATAGTCTATTAAAGTTACTTTGGAAAAAAAACGTTTTTGAACATGATGGTTTTCGATCGGTGAAGTGTATAATTTTGTCATTTTTATGTTCATTGAAAAATCTTTTAAGTACCTGTTAATGTTCGATAAATGTTTGTTACGGATGTTTATAATAATACAGAGAGATTAGAAGGGGTATTATTAATTCTATTGTCTCTATTACTTCCCCAAAAATTACTAAGAGTTACTAAAAATTATTGCTTTTGGTAGCAACTGATTCTACTTTACTAAAAGTCGTTATTTTTACTAGAATTTTTTTCCAGAAGAACCAACAGATCTTTAAGCGCCATACTACGATGTGGTCGGGTATAGACTCAAGGAGGACGAGAGTATACAGGGTTGTTTACCACATACGACACGGAGTATTGTAGCTAAACGGTGAGATTTTTACAAATTGTAAGTTTGGGGTTCGTTGAAGGACTATTAGAGCTACAATTTAAAAATATTTTTACAAGATACAGAGTGTCCCAAATAAATAAAAAATATCAAAGTTGTATTTTTTTAAATGGAACACCCTGTATATTATTACATTTTTAGTTTCTACGATTAAAATAAAGGTTAATTTGATTAAGGTTTATTATACTTAAACCTTACCGTTTGAAATATTTTCAATTTTGTGAAATTGCAGTAAAAATTTTAAAGCTTCATTTCTCCAAGGGTGTCAATGTTTTTAATACTAAATATTTAATGAAGTTTATTTATTGATCGGTTATTGTGTTGCAATAATAAAAATAATACTACCTTATACAGAGTGTCTAAGAATTTATTTTAAATAATTATTAGCTTCAAACGGCAATAACTTTTTTAATTTAAATAGAATGCCCTGTATATTTATTTTAGGAGAATCAGATGCACAATTAAATTGTCTGTCAAATTGTATTATACCATTTTCTACCTATCCCTTCAAGTTTTCGTAGAAAATGCATTTTCTTATAATTTAGACCTCATTTATCAATATATCCATGGAATATTGACATTTTAGATTGTTTTTAAAGCAACAAATGTACAAAATGTACAGACTAGTAATATTATCGTTTTTAGCAAAACGATAATATTACTAGCCCATTTGTATGCAAAAAGAAAACTATTTAAATCTTTATAAAAGAGTATACCATTAATTAAATATAACACCATTATTTGCGCCCATATACTAATTAATTACATACTTAATTGTGTTCGTTATTAAATTATTATAAATAAATGTGGATTTGAGTCAGAAATCAATATAATAATAAGTTATCAAATTAAAGTCTCTGTAGTTATAAATAAGCATTTATTAAAAATGAAATATCATTTTTAAGGTGTTACTTTTTATCACACTGTCTAATGCCCATACAAAATTCAGTTTTTTAGTATTTGGAGCAATTATTATTAATCAACGCAAATAGTCTGTTAATGTAGTTTGAATACTGGAATCATATTAATTGATCCTCTTTAATAAATATTTAAACAATTTTTCTTATTTTTTAATGAAATAAACTAATTATATCGACAATATTAGTATCTGTACTCTTTAAAAATTTGGTTCATCTTTAAAAATAATCTAAAATGTCAATAGTCCATGGGTATATTGATAAATAAGTTCTAAATTACAAGAAAATACATTTTCTACGGAAACTTAAAGAGATAGGTAAAAAATGGTATGATATAATTTGATAGACAATTAAATTGTGCATCTGATTCTCGTAAAATATACAGGGTGTTCCATTTAAATTAAACAAGTTATTGCCGTTTGAAGCTAATAATTATTTAAAATAAATTTTTAGACACTCTGTATAAGGTAGTATTATTTTTATTATTGCAACACAATAACTGATCAGTAAATAAACTTCAGTAAATATTTAGTATTAAAAAACTTTGATACCCTTTGGAGAAATGAAGCCTTAACATTTTTACTGCAATTTCACAAAATTGAAAATATTTCAAAACGGTAAGGTTTAAGTATAATAAATCTTAATCAAATTTACCTGTTAATGTTCGATAAATGTTTGTTACGGATGTTTATAATAATACAGAGAGATTAGAAGGGTATTATTAGTTCTATTGTCTCTATTACTTCCCCAAAATTACTAAGAGTTACTAAAAATTATTGCTTTTGGTAGCAACTGATTCTATCTTACTAAAAGTCGTTATTTTTACTAGAATTTTTTCCAGAAGAACCATCTTTAAGCGCCATACTACGGTGTGGTCGGATATAGACTCAAGGAGGACGAGAGTATATGTATATGTGGCTGTAAATAAATATGTTTCTTTTATTGTGATCTACCAGCACTGAAAATATTTGTACTCACCTATTAAAGACTCACCCTGTATAGCTGTTTTTATTTGCCACTTTTCAATCATTTTGATCGCTCCATACCTACTTTTAGGTTGCTGAACCGTAAACTCAAAGCTAATAGACTCTTTAGGGTAATACGTTTTTTGAGTACGTAAAAATGCAAATGTAACTGTTGGCAGCGCATGCCAAACCACTCGATTTCATTTTATTTAAACGTCAGCCAAAAACTCGTGATCAGCTTCCCAAATAACTCTAAAAACGTATTTTCTTTGGAGGCTTGTAAGCGATTTTCTTTATTCTTCATCATTTTCTTTAAGCATGAAGCTTTTGGAGAAAAGCTTGCTTTTTATGGAAATTGTCGTTAAAATGGATAGAGAGAACCGGATATAATATGGTGTATGATTTTAAAAATTAGGATAACGGATAAACGGACAGGATATATTATATCCTCCTATAGAACCTGACCCATTTCATATATTATATGAAATGGGTCAGGTTCTATACCTTAAATACCCCGATGATATTGCCTATACGATTTCTTCTTAATTACTCTCCTTCAGGCAACGTTTCCGAAATAATTTATATGAAATCAATTGCCCCCATTTTTGAATTCACCGAATTTATTTTAATTAAAAACCTTTCATCGTCTTCTAGTTTCAGCTAGATTTTAACAGCGTGTTATTTTTTCTCACCATACCTGTTTCTGTGGCCTCGGCTGAAAGATCTTTTTTCAAATTAAAGCTTGTCAAAAATTATTTAAGAAATACTTTGGGCGAAAAACGGTTATCAGCTTTGGCAATTATTTCAATGGAAAATGAAGTTGCCGGTTCAATAGACATTGGTAATATTGTGTCAACTTTCGCCCATGCTAAAGCAAGGAAAAATAATTTTAACATGTTCATGTTCCTATTTACATTGTTTATTTTAATTTAGTTAGTTTTGTTGTTGTTTTTTGTTTTGTTTTTATTTATTTTTTTATTTATATGATATTTTATATGTTTTGTGTTACACATTCTCTGTTGCAGTAATAAATAATACTATATAAAAATTAATTTGATAATGTTATTTCTAACCTAAAATATGAGTGCATATTATTCAGATTAGTATAGTATAAGTATTGAAATATGTAGGTGTAATAGGGGGCCCGGTAAAATTTTTGCACACAGGCCCGTGAGTCTGTTGTTACGCCACTGAAGGTTTGCAAAGCTTCAGCATTTGCCATAAAATAGCTAGCAAGCTTATTAAAATATCTAGTTTCTTAATAATTAAATGGCATTCATTTGTTGAATAGCAACTCTTGAAAGAAATGTTAATTATATTTAGATAATTAAACTCACTTCGTTATATGTATATTAAAGGGAATGTTTGTTTATTGTTTTTCACTAATTAGCAAACGAAATCCTGCCAATTAATTAGTACGTTAAAGATAATTATACAGAGAGTACCGAATCGTCAAATTTTTGTATCAAAATGTTTATTTACTGTTTATACTTGACATCCTTTATAGCCTGTAATTTTTAATGTAAAATTAGATATAATTTAAAAAAAACTAAGTATAGAGGGTACCAATAAAGATAATTGTTTCCTTGTTAACAGAGGCGTAGTATACAGGGTCGCTGATATGTATGGGAACGCTCGATTATTAGGTAAAATACGAGTATAAAAGTTACCGCAAAAATTTAAAAATGAAAGTTACTAGCGTGTACCCGCGACTTCGTTCGCATCGGTGATTATAAAGCAAAGCAAGAATTTCCATTGACATACAAACTGGATAAAATTTTCTCACATTTATGTCAGCATGAGAAAAAAACAATATGGCGATATTATTATATAACTTGATGATATTTGAGGGGTAGTTTCATCTCGTTGGAATTTTACTTTCGAAAAATCCGTTTGCCAAAAATAAGCTTTTTACGTCAAGCAGTTTAAGCAGAATCGTGGTTAATCGATTATCCAACTTTTTGGAATACCCTGTATAATTTTTTAAAAAATTTCAAAATAAATTATGCGTGTCCAAGAGTATTCCCCAAAGACTAACCGTTTATTGTAATATTCGAGGGGCGTTTTCACCCTCTTGGAATTTGAGATTCGAGAAACCCCTCCTCAACGAACCCCTACACCCCACAGTCAATCCGTTTGCCAAAAATCAGCTTTAAACGTCAAGCAGTTTAAGCAGAATCGTGATTACTCAATGGTCATATTTTATGAAACACACTGTATAAATTTTTAAAAAATCTTGCCAGCCTGTATAGATAAAACAAACAGCTAGGGTCTTCCTTTATTGTTAATATTTTAAAAATTAATATTTTTTTCTCATTTAAAAGGGTTAAAAGATAATTAAAAGACAACCTAATTACATCGATAATAAATTTATTTACACAAAATAAATATTTTTAGATCAATACATATATAAAACTGGTCAATATGTATTCTATACATACAGTAATAATTTAAGGTATAAATTGTTTTTTATTTCTTATTAATTTATGTTTCTTTTAAATATAAAATAAAATTAAATTATAAATAATTAGATACACCACAGAGTTTATTCATCGCCAAATGCCCTCAAATGCAAAAAAATACATGAGACATGCACTTTCACAGTAATATACTACATATAATACCGTGTGATCGAAAAAAAAAACGGTGTCAAAGACGGCTGGGAAATTACAATCGACGATATATTTGGCGAGGACAATCTCTAGACGCCATTTACTTAAAAATGACATAAAACTTGTCAAAAATTAACACTGATTATAGAAAGATTAAAAAAGAATAAAGAAAATTCAGGGATTGACCTCGCAAAAATTTTCATCAAGTGCCATCCCCAGCTTTTTTTCGATCTTATGGTATAATATTACTATATTGCGCTGTTCATGCGTGTGCCTCATGTATTTGTTTAGGTTTGGTGCATCTTGATGTTGAATAGACTTTTTTTAAATTTCATTTTAATAAATTATTCTATTCCATTATAACGGTATATAATTTTCAATTTTCAAAATTAAATATGGCTTTTTAAAATTAAAAAATTCTACCAAGTAAAAATCTACACAGTACATATATATAAAATATACTTTTTAGTCTTGATTTCCTAAACAAGTTGTTATAACTAAGTATATTATTATACTGGGTGCGCGTCTCAAAAGTGGCTCACCCCCTATAACTTTTTTATTTTTTCAGATAAAAAAACGAGATTTGGTATGTTGGTATATGACATAAATTAGGATTGATTGACGTATTCAATTGTTTTTTGCCACTTCCTGTTTCACCGGAAATGACTGCAACTTTTGATTTTTAGATGGCACCCTCGGTATTTTTTCTTCGATAGAAAATGACATTTTGAATAAAATGACATATAATATGTCAACTTTTGACAATCTCGCTGAATAAAAAATCGTATTTTAAAATTCAATCTGGGGTGTCATGGCTATGTTAAAAACACTAATTCTTAATCAAGGGGCCTTGGAAAAATAGATTTGATCGTCTAATGTTTTTAGTGTCTTGTTCTGGCCAGTTAGAAAATGCTCAAATCGTATTTGAATAGTATTTTAATTCCAAACCAAACCAAACCAAGCCAAATTTTCGTTACGAACCGCAAGTTAAAATTTCAAATAAATCATATGCGAAAATGTCAAAATTTGACATTTGACATGTGTACCACTTTTGAGACGCACACTGTATACTAAAAGCTAATAAATATATTTTCCAGACAATACCTACATTACAAATACTTTTTTCTTACTTAACAAGACATATATATATTTTATATTCAATCACATCTATGACTTTAAACTATATCAGAAATCAGAAATAGTTTAAAATTAATATATACATTATTTGTTCTACTGTTATTTTGATTAAAATGACAATAACATTTAATATACAACTTTATTTGTAGTACTATTATTTGGTCATTATACTCTACCACATATTATATTTACATAAATATTTGTCATGTAGATTATCTTAAAACTTAATCCTATACTTCAAAATATTTTTTTCCTATATCTGAAAATTTGGACAAGAGTCCAAAATTTTAGATGTTCCTTTAATTTGATTAACCTATAAAAATAACAACTATCCTACACTAGTATAAATAAATTACCCTGTATAAATTTATTAATTTCTATTATATACACAAAAAAATACAGTATGGCTCAAATAAATAAATAAATAACATTTCTTAACTATAATATGTTATACAGCCCAATACCTTAAAGCTTATAGAAGACATCGAACACAAATACTGATTAAAATATATATTATTTTTATTGTTACAGTGATTTTTATATATTTATATTTGCTTAGAATTCTATACGCTACCACTGTCTTGAACAAGACTGCCAATGGAATAATTCTAATATTTTTAAAATTATGATGTAGGCATGAAAGATATACAAAATTTCGATGTGGCGCAAAATGAATACCCTGGTGAATTCCTTACAGATAGGGTTTTTAACATTTATTTTTATATGTAGACTCTTATAAGCGTCTAGTTCTCCCTTATGTCTAGATATATTATATAAAATTCTATTATAGACTAGTTTTGACATTGGCAAGATAAAGCACTATGATAATATAGTGCTTGATTCTGATAATTCTCAGTAAGTATCATATTGATTTGTGATTTGAACTGATGCTAAAACAAATGGATATGGTAAACAATATTTATCGTTCAGACCCAATATTATTACAAATTCTTGCATATTTCTCTGTTTTGGCCTTAAAATGCCTAGAAACATTATTTTACAGTTTAATAGAGTCAGAATAGTAACACTGTCTCAACAGGGCTACCGGCAAGTTGCAATAGCTGAAATTGTAGAGTTAACCAAAGCGATGTTTCGCGAATACTTAAAAAAATTCAGGGAGATAAACGAGGTTACAGACCGGCCTGGAAGAGGTAGAAAGAGAGTTACTACTGCTGTGCAAGACCGTCAAATATCCCTAATTGCAAGACGCAATCCCCTGCTTTCTAGTACAGCTATTAAAAATGAGTTAGCTCGCCTCGAAGGAGTAAATGTTTCAAGAAAGACCATAGCAAGAAGAGTTCATAACAGAGGATTACATTTAAGGAGGCCTCTACGTGTTCGGAAGCTTAGTTTACAGCACAAAATTACGCGACTCCAATGGGCTGGGGAGATGAGAGCAAATGGACCTAATTGGAATTTCGTCATGTTTAGTGATCAAACAAAAATAGGCCTAGTGTCAGACTCGCGACGAACTTTGGTCTGGAGGACATCTGGAAGACGAGCACGCTTCAATGCAGCTGAACCCCGTGTCCCGTTTCAAGAGGGAAGCGTTATGGGATGGGCAGGTATAATACACGAAGCTTGTGTTGTTTTTATTGATGGCACAATGACAGGTGACTCATATCTTAAAGACGTTTTAGAGCCTATTGTGCGTCCATTTCGAGGAGCAGTGGGGGACAAATTTGTTTACATGGACGATAATGCTCCTACCCATCGCACTTTAGCGGTTCGCGAATCCTGTGAGGAAGAAGGTATAAGAAAACTGTGGTGTGGCCATCGATGTTTCCAGATATGAATGTGATCGAGCATGCATAACCCCCTCCCCCCGTACTTTAAATGAACCGAAAATTGCTGCGCGCGAAACCTGGGAAACCATTCCTCAACATCTTCTGGACAACATAATTGAGAGCATGCCACGTCGTCTCACAGCTTGCATTGAGGCTCGAGAAGGCAATACAGACTATTAGTTGTGAGAAATAATTAAAATTGTTTTCAATGTTTTCTGTTTAAAATAAAATTTGTTTTTGTTGATTTTCACTCATTATGAAATAAAATTATAATAACAGCCTAGTTTTGCACTTAGATTTTTAATTTTATATTAGTTAGTCGTGTATGTCTAAAAATATAAAATGAAAATAGGTCCAAAATAAAATATCCCTATATGCAATAAGTTTGGCCATGTGAGTGTTCAACATGGAAAAGAAAAATTTACATAATAATGGCTTATTTTCATCCCGGCGTTCAAAACAAGGTTAGAACAAAATCGAACTGGTTGCTCTGTATTCCTATTTTTCCGATATCCAGCATTTACCAAAGAGCATTTTTAACAAACTGATAATTATCAGAATTATAATACACCAACTATTATACGACACCCTGTATATTTCTGTCAATTCTGATGACACACGACGCACAAACTTATTCTTTTATTCTATTCATGACATAAAAAGTCTTTTAGGTTTATGTCCTGTTAGGTTTATTAAACTAAAAAAAGTAAGTAATCCCCCAACTATATGTTATTTAGTAGAGTTTCTACAGAAAAAATATGAAATCACACATAGACACAGTCAATATTAATAAAATATTAATCTCTCTAAAAGAAATTAGTATTAATAAATATTATATCTACAGTATGTCTTCGGTTTGTCTTTACACGAGGAAAACTTTTTTATTGTTGATATTTTGCACAATGCATTCTTCATAAAAAAATGTTTCCTTGTTCTAAAATTGTTAATCCCGTTCATACTTTTCTAAATTGCCATACCATTTTAGAAAAAAAATAAAAAAAAAAAACATTAAAATATGGTTGAAATTTTTTCCATGTCCTGAAATCAAAACGCGATTCTATGGTAATATAATTCCGATTTGCTTGTGATTAACTCAAAATCAGCTATCACTGACACTGTCAAAAACGTCAACAACTGAGATAGTAACTATGGATAGTAATTCAAATTTTATTTCTGCGCTTATTGTGACGATGTTTTCATTTGATCACCTAGTATATATTTACATAATAATGATCAATTATCTGGAACTCGATGTGGAATTCGATTTTTTATTTGTTTATAAATAAATATAAAAAATAAATTATAACAAATTTTCTTAAATTATTACTTTACCATGAAGAAATACAATAAAATTATGAATAATTTATATCAAATACCTTATATGGTATAATATAAATCTTTCTTCGTATAGTCTGTCAAAGATATCCATGAAAATCTGGAAAAAATAAAGTGTCAAATAGTTTTATATCAAAAAATATTGTATAAAAACTAGAATTTTTCCGAGACAACAATGGATAATATATTTATGGAACAGCATGTGTAGATTTATAGACAAGTACTATACAATAAAAAAAAAAACGGCGTCAAAGACGGCTGGGGAATGACCATCGATGAGGATTTTGGGGAGGTCAAGCCCTAGGCGTCATTACTTGGCCTGTACTCGTTTTTTCATTTTTTAATGGTGCTTACCGCCAGTTGGATTTAAGAAGGTTATATATGTTACAGTGAAAGTCGGAAATTCAGTTATTGTTAACATTCAATAGATTAGTAGTTTTGCTATGTCCGCTATTTAAACTTAACCTAACTTTGAATTTAAAACTTTGAAATTGTTTTGTTTACTAGGTATTTTAAAACTAAAGAAAAATTTTTGAAAACTTTTTCAAAAAAATCTGTTGAACTTTTACTGGCGTATTCTTAGCAAATCAGTAAATGGGGTGAGCTTTTACTAGTAATTGTTAACAATCACTGATTTCCAACTTTTACTGTAACATATATATCATTCCCCAGCCGTCTTTGACGCCGTTTTTTTCGATCATACGGTATATCAGTTGTCTAAAACTGCTTACAGACAAATTTGATTCTAAATATACGTAGAAAAAAAGAATATATTGAAACTCTAATTTAAATCTCTACTTTATGGGTGATTTTTTTATAAATATCTAAAAATTTCAATACCGATAAAAATTTGAATACGATAATAATAATAATAAAGAGACTGGGTACTGGTATTGTAAATTATGTAAATGCCGAAACTTTAAAAAATTCAGTTCGTGTTTGAAAGAAAAAACTGTCTGAAGATGTTCTTTATTAAATATCGATTTTTGAAGTGATAAATAACTCTGTGGAAATATTAAAGAATATCTGACAGCGTTTTTTTTTTCGGGCAAGTCTCCCTTAAAAAGAAAACATAAATAAAGTTTCATTTATTTTTTCAATAATAAAAGTATTATGAAAAAAAATGGCATTTTTCAAATTACATTATTAGGTCTTTAAATGTTCATAACTTTTTTCCATCATAGCAACTGTTAAAATTGCCCTAAATATCTATCAAAAATAGTAGGTAAAATAGTACTTAAACCGCAATAGTAGATTAAATGATACTTTAACAGCGAGGATAGGTTAAAAACTTTATTTCTCCTCGCACATTGTTTTAATTGCTTCTATTTTTGAAAAATTTTGTATTCCTTTTCATAAGTTATTCGGGATTTAAATGGAAGTAGATTGGATATGGGGTTTGTCGTCTCAGCCTGAATATCTGTTGGTAATTTACTTATTTCCTTTTGAGCCATTTCTGGCTCCAATTCAATCAGCAATCGACACGAAAGAGAATTAAAAAATATTGACTCAAAATGACAACTAAAGAGACAGCTTTATTTATTTGTCAAATTACATAGAAACCAACACCAACCCAGCACAATATTATTTTTTATACTCGTAATAAATTCCTTGAAATAATAATTTCTGAATATGTTTTAAAATGTAACTCGCTATAGAAAAAAATATTGTTTTATACACGACGATAAAATTGCATTATCGCCTCCCGAAATTAATTCATTAATCTTATCGCTCACGATAAAATACCATTTAATCGTCTTGTATAAAAAATAACTAAAATTGCTTTAAGTAAAGTAATTTCATGTTATTCTAGTAATTTAAAAAAAAACAGATTGTCGCCAAAAAGAATTTTCATTAAGTATACACTTACTTTTGTGTAAAAAAATGATATATTATGAGAAAAAAAAACTTTGACTTTGTCTAGTGTCCTGATAAACAGAAGTTATACTATAAAAATGATATAAAGTAGGTACAAAAACCTTGAGAAAATATTGTTTCTCTTGGCTTATAAAAGGATGTTTGTATGTAACAAAGACATCCAGAAAAATCGGTTTGTTTTTTCCGATAGAGACGAACATTTTCAGAACATTTTATTACAGTTGTTACTTCTTATATTTATTTCTCTTAATGTTATTGTTTATTTTTTACAGAAATTTATTTAGTAGGGGCCCGAGATGCTAAATGAGAATTTACTCCAAAAATTGTTATACAGGGTGTCCCAGAAATAAGTGCAAGTATTTGAAGGGTGGTAGATCTGGCCAAAAAACATACCTATTTCTCTTTGCCATTTTTAAAATAATTTTATAATAACCGAGTTATTTAACTTGAAATTTTAAAAAAATAATAGCAAATTACCAGAATATGAGCTTGTTCGACGCCCAGCGTTGACACATCAACTAGAAAGGTTTAAAAATGACTTGGAAAATTCAGATTAAAAGTAAAAACTTACTTAACAATAGAAAACAAAACAAAAAAAAGCAAGTTTAACCTTCCCCCACCACTTTATTTTATGAGATAGAGCAAAATACTCTATATTAAAAAAATTACAAATTTCTCAATGATTACAATAGTAATATCTAAAATACCTGTTCACCTGCATATTTTTGAGAAAAAAAACTGTTTTATTCTGATTGGTAATGAGAGAAACGCCCCCTAGCGGACATTTTTCGAACTTGAAAATAATTTCCAGCAATTTTTCTTGGCCCATTTACTTATTGGAATTTTTTTCCCAAAGTTATACGATAAGTAGTTTCTGAGCTACAGCCGGCGTCCATTCTTTTTTGACCACCCGGTACAGTGGTTAAAAAATCTACAGTGAATAAATTAATTTAAGTTTTTTTGTAGATATTTAAAAACAATGATTTTAAAATGTGAACTTGGCAGCATTGCATTCTCTCGAAGCACTATATAAACAAATTTCCGGCAACTGAACAAGAGGCACTCAAAGTTTTTCAATATTTTCCGGAAAGCGCAAAACACAATCTAAAATTTTCAACATTTTTTGTTCGCAAAAAACCTCATGGGTGTATTTCTGAGGTCTAATTATACTACCAGTTAAACAACTTATTTCTGGGACGCACAAAAAAAGTAGATACTCATGACAGTACACGCAAACAAAATGTTTTAAAACATAATTTAAGAGACTAGACATCTTATTAGTTATTTTTATTCCTGCCACGATTGCATTTATGCTGGCTACCCTTATAAAATACAAAGCACGCAAAAAAATTTGTCACCCTGAGAAATTAGTGTACCGGACATAAATATATATCATTTTTAAGGGCTGTAACTTTCCTTAATCTTTTTATTCCAAACTATTTTATACTTACAAATATTTAAACCCTGACAGATTTGACTGACATTTGCGTTGTCGACTTGCGATGAAGAGAGAGCAAAGGAACGGTGTTGCCGTTCTGTCCATTTCCGTTGACCATGAAAACACCGGCAGCACTGTCGGCGGTGTGATAGTTGCTCCATCTGGTGCTCTGTCTGGATAAGTTCCTTTGGAAACTCCTCTTGATAGCTTGATGAACGTCGTGGTTGGCGAAGCAGAAGAGAACGGCACAGCACAAACCCTGAAAATAAAAAAAATAATTAGAAGATGCATACCCCACTTCGCAGCTACCTAGATTTTAACAAATAATAAAGATTTACTGATTCGACATTGATGCGTAACTTTTTTTGAGGATGCCCTGTAGAACTCTACATATTTTAATAAAATACTTTCATGCTTGCTTCATCCACGTTACCGTAGATGGAGCTAAGAAGGCTTAGGTAGTGTAAATATAAATAAACAAAATACGAGTATTGGAAAAAGGGGCCAAAATTGGGCTGTGATTGTCACAGCTGCCGCTAGATGGCGTAGAGCGTCTAGCACTCTCGCCATAGTAGTACGTTTTATACTCAAATGCTATTCTCTGCTTTTCGTTGGTCACTTTGTTCAGATCGAGGGTTACAGCAAAGTCGGCCTGACGATGGAGAAAAATCTCCGAAACTGGTCGTCGAATGGCTGTTCCCTTCGGTCTGATGAACTGAATGCAGAGAATAAGCATATATGTAGGGTTTTTTTGGCCCCTTTTTCCGCTACTCGTATTTTGTTTAAAATACTTTCAATTAACCTACATATGCCTTCAAAATTTAATTTCGGTATAAACTTGTATAGGCATTATGGTTTATACTTCTATTTTTAAACAAAAATAAATTAATACACTTTCTGACATTGACATATTTGTTAAAGGGTGGCGCGAAATTACATTTTTAACCCTAACAAGGGTCTAAGTATTATAAAGGGCTCAAGGATTAATCTTATCCAAGCCAAGATTTATTTAAATCCTTATAGAATCGGTAGGGTGTACAAAATCAATTTATCATTGACAGTTTATGTTCGAGACACGTAAATATTTCTTTATAATAGCTATTTATGTAACAAGTTGCGAAATGAATGTGTTTTAAGCACGGGACGCAAAATTCGTCGAGTGCTTAAAACACTCTTTTCAGGTTCAAACGTCGAAGTATTTCCTACAAAGTTTTGTGAAAAAATGAGTGATAATGACGAGTCTTTGGATATTCAACAAGTTGCTGAAACTGCGCTATCCACGTTAGTGCCCGAGAAGTCGAAAAACTTATACGAGACCACCTACAACAACTTTGAAACCTAGGTCAAAGAAAAACATGTTGAGATTTTCACAGAAAAGGTAGTGCTAGCCTATTTCCTGAAGTTATCCACTACCCGTCAGCCGTCAACCCTGTGTAGTAAATATTCGATGCTCCGCACCATGATTTACCTGAACAGAAACGTAGATATTAGCAAGTTCACAAACCTTATTGCATTTTTAAAAAGAAAAGCTTCAGGATACCAGGCAAAGAAATCAAAAGTATTTACAATAGAACGCTTTTTGAAAGAAGCCGATGACAAAGAATTCCTGTTAGCTAAAGTTGTCTTAATCGTTGAAGTATTTGGAGCATGTAGGAGGGAAGAAATCACGTTTTTGACCGTAGATGCTATTAAAAATTGTCAGTCATTTATTAGTGTGAAGATTCCGATTACAAGAATTCATTTTCCAAGAGTGTTTTCTTCTTCGACCACCGAATGTGCAATATCAGCTATTTTTCTTGACGTATCGAAAAAATCAATGCTATACCCTGCCAGATGGAATCAATAAAATTGGGGGTACGCCAAAAAAGATAGCGAAATTTCTTGGACTCTCCAACGCCATTGAATACACTGCTCATTGCTTCCGGCGCAGCTCTGAAACAATGCTGGCAGATTCAGGAGCGGACATAACAGTTTTAAAGCTCGGTTGCTGAAGGTTACATTGAAAATTCAATTGAACAGAAAACCGAAATAGTAAAATAATCATGGGACAGAAAGATACGCCAAATAAGAAATTAAAAGCAGTTTACGTAGAAGCAGAAGCTACCAGCATTGCCAGTACAAGAAATTTACTTATTCCGACTCCTACAACTTGCATTTCTCTTAGAGACGAAAAGTTGTATGCCGCTTGTATTCACTTTAATAATTTAAATAATTGTACCTTTAAGATTTATAACAAATAAATATTTTCATTGTTTCTAACGTTTCATTTTTTACTTTTCGGCACTAGTGCCTAAACAAGTGTCAATTTTAGATACTAGTGCCTAAAAGAATGTCATTTCGAATCTCAAATAAATACCAAAAACTGTCAATTTCGAAACGCTTTCACAAAAAATAATTATTGTTATTAAAAAGGGCATGAATAATACTTTGACACATGAATTATTATTTTTATGTTCACGACAGGCAAACAAAATAAAGTCCTCCTACTCTGGGTGCCAGTCCACTAAAGAATAGAAGGTAATGAAAGCAAAGGATCTAGATAGCAAAGGATCTAGCTAGAAAAGGAGCGAACGCTCCACTAACTGGACCAGCTTAAGGCAGATCTCAGAAAGGAAGACTCCTGGACGACTCCATCCGTAACCTGGAATGGGAATTCTCCAACGACCGTTTGAGACGCTCGAAGAAATCCTCAGAACTCCTCAAAAACATCTAAGTAGATTGAAGCTAAGAAACAACCGGGCGAATGCAGATTCTGTGGGCAAAATAGTGAAACACCAGAACATCTCATCACTGAGAACGCCGAGACAACAACCATTCGTGCCATTAGCTTTGGTCTTGCTTTGGTACCACTGATATCGGAAATGGAGAACTACGTACCTCTGGAAAATCGTCTCAGATACTAGCTTTTGTCAAAATTTTACTACCCCTAAAATATTTGCACTCATTTAGGACTCACCCTGTATGTTGTTAAAAATAAAAGAATTTCACTGACATGAAAGTCAAATTTCGCCTAAAAGCATTAACAATAAAAAATCAATGACTTTATCTGCGACACCGTACGTATTGCAACAAGTTCGCATTTCCATAAAAAGGAAATTCTTCGTGTATAAAAGCCCCTTTTTTATTCAATTTTCGTCCTATTTTACAGGCCCTAACGCTCGAATAAACAGTCCCTTATATAAAAAATAAATTATAACAAATTTTCTTAAATTATTACTTTACCATGAAGAAATACAATAAAATTATGAATAATTTATATCAAATACCTTATATGGTATAATATAAATCTTTCTTCGTATAGTCTGTCAAAGATATCCATGAAAATCTGGAAAAAATAAAGTGTCAAATAGTTTTATGTAAAAAAATATTGTATAAAAACTAGAATTTTTCTGAGGCAACAATGGATAATACATTTATGGAACACCGTGTGTAGATTTATAGACAAGTACTATACAATCAAAAAAAAAACGGCGTCGAAGACGGCTGGGGAATGACCATCGATGAGGATTTTGGGGAGGTCAAGCCCTAGGCGTCATTACTTGGCCTGTACTCGTCTTCATTTTTTAATGGTGCTTACTGCCAGTTGGATTTAAGAAGGTTATATATGTTACAGTGAAAGTCGGAAATTCAGTTATTGTTAACATTCAATAGATTAGTAGTTTTGCTATGATTTCATTATATTGCAAAAACAAGCCCTATTAGATTCTTGCGAGTGCCTAGTTTACCTTAATTTTTTAAAGACAATTTCTTCCATAAGGAAAATACTGCACAGCACTGTTTACAACGATAACAAAACAATTATACATAACCACAAAAACAAAACGAGTTTACGCCAGATGTCTGTAAACGTTGCCAACGTTTATCCCAATTTAATGTTATCCTTATATTGCCTATTATTCAACTTATCCGTATTTATCCTTATATTTTACAACATGTGGCAACCGCGCTAACTGAATCTTTCAAACTCACTCCTATCACAGGTATACTGTATGAATACAGATAAAAATCGTATCCCTAATTCGTGGTACGAGCTTTTACTAGTAATTGTTAACAATCACTGATTTCCAACTTTTACTGTAACATATATATCATTCCCCAGCCGTCTTTGACGCCGTTTTTTTTTCGATCATACGGTATATCACTTGGCTAAAACTGCTTACAGACAAATTTGATTCTAAATATACGTAGAAAAAAAGAATATATTGAAAGTCTAATTTAAATCTCTACGTTATGGGTGATTTTTTATTAATATCTAAAAATTTCAATATCGATAAAAATTTGAATACGATAATAATAATAATAAAGAGACTGGGTACTGCATTGTAAATTATGTAAATGCCGAAACTTTAAAAAATTCAGTTCGTGTTTGAAAGAAAAAACTGTCTGAAGATGTTCTTTATTAAATATCGATTTTTGAAGTGATAAATAACTCTGTGGAAATATTAAAAAATATCTGACAGCGTTTTTTTTTTCGGGCAAGTCTCCCCGAAAAAGAAAACATAAATAAAGTTTCTTTTATTTTATTTTAATAAAAAATTTATTAGGAAAAAATCGCCATTTTTCAAATTACATTATTATGTCTTTAAATGTTCATAATTTTTTCCATAGCAACTGTTAAAATTGTCTTATTTCTATCAAAAATAGTAGATAAAATAGTACTTTAACCGCCATATTTAACCACAAGAGTAGATTAAATGATACTTTAACAGCGAGGATAGGTTAAAAACTTTATTTCTTCTCGCACGTTTTTTAATTGCTTCCATTTTTGAAAATTTTTCTATTCTTTTTCATAAGTTATTCGGGATTTAAATGGAAGTAGATTGGATATGGCGTTTGTCACCTCAGCCAGAATATCTGTTGGTAATTTACTTATTTAGTTTTGAGCCATTTCTGGCTCCAATTCAATCAGCAATCGACACGAAAGAGAATTAAAAAATATTGACTCAAAACTGACAACTAAAGAGACAGCTTTATTTATTTGTCAAATTACATAGAAACCAACACCAACCCAGCACAATATTATTTTTTATACTCGTAATAAATTCCTTGAAATAATAATTTCTGAGTAAGTTTTAGAACGTAACTCGTTATGGAAAAAAATATTGTTTTATACACGACGATAAAATTGCATTATCGCTCCCGAAAATAATTCATTAATCTTATCGCTCACGATAAAATACCATTTAATCGTCTTGTATAAAAAATAACTAAAATTGCTTTAAGTAAAGTAATTTTATGTTATTATAGTAATTTAAAAAA